ACATACACACACACATACATCCACCGACCCCCACACCCATACATACATACATACATACATACATACATACATACATACATACATACATACATACATACATACATACATACATACATACATACATACATACATACATACATACATATGCATACATACATACATACATACATACATACATATACATACAAAAACATCCATCCATCCATCCATCCACACGCACGCACGCACACACACATATACATGCATGCATGCGTACGTACATACATACATACATACACACACATATACATATACATACATACATGGATGCATGCATGCATACATACACACATGCATACATACATACATATACATACAAAAACATCCATCCATCCATCCACATGCACGCACGCACACACAAACACACATATACATGCATGCATGCGTATGTACGTACATACATACATACACACACACACATACATATACATACAAAAACATACATACACACGCACCCATGCACACACATACATACATGAATGCACACACGCAGACACACATACATGCTTACATAGACGCATGCATACATCCATCCATCCATCCATCCATCCAAACGCACGCACGCACACACACATATACATACATACGTACGTACGTACGTACGTACATACATACACACACACACACACACACACACACACACATACATACGACCTGTGAAGGTCCGGGTTAGAATGAGCCTTCAGTAACCCATGCTTGTCGTAAGAGGCGACTAACGGGATCGGGTGGTCAGGCTCGCTGACTTGGTTGCCACATGTCATCGGTTCCCACTTGCGCAGATCGATGCTCATGCTGTTGATCACTCGATTGTCTGGTCCAGAATCGATTATTTACAGACCGCCGCCATATAGCTGGAATATTGCTGACTCACTTACTCACTTACTCACTCACACACACATACACACCTTCAGAAGAGGGTGACCCACTGCCAGGGTGACCGCCAAACTCTCCGCTGAGAATCTGTATCGCTAACATTTGACTGCTTTATTTAAACTATTTTATACATTGAATCGTTTGCACACTCAGTTTAAACATAATTATCAATTTTATAGCAGTTTAAGCTTGTCAGAATATGTTTCACTGATTTTAAAGATCCAGTCGAGAGGCAGACGTCATTTTGTTTACATGCCATATAGTCGGTAGCGATCTTTTAAAAAATAATAATAAAATGATATTTTGTGCATTTAACATGGTGGTAAGATAAATACGTTGTATGCTTCTCCCTTGGGTAATACGGTCTGATGTAAACCAAGCCATGACGACCAGGTGTTGCCGCACTACTGTGAAATCAGAGATGAAGATGTCGTCATCATGTGTGAGCTGCCAGCCATGAACCGAAATGATTCAGTAACTGGGGCTGCTGCTTTAACTGTTCTGGCAGAGTGCTTTGCTCCAGACTGTGACGATAAAGTCAACGATGTTGCTACATCAGAACAGTCTGCTGTTGATGACGACACAAATTCTAAACCAATGCGGAAGGATGTTGGTGAACGTCCTGAGAGAGCAGGGACATATTTGTCTCCGATGGACGACTGGTGCGATGTTATCACTTGGTGCAGATACACAGTGTTGCAAAGGAAGTTAAGACTGCAGTCAGTTACTGTTTGCCTCAATATAGAACAAACCACAAATCCCAAATTTAACGTTTAAAGACCTTCCTTATAATTATTATAAATATCTGATGATAGCAAGAGGCGCATTTAATAAAATAATTTAATGTTAGTGTAGTTTCAATATTTTTAGATGAGACATATGGAGTAATATCTAACCGGTGATTAGTTTAAGAAGAATAGATAAAGAATTATCCTTCTTTTTAAAATCTGTTTCAACAATAGAAAATAACATGCTTTAATTTCCATCAAACACACACATGCATATTATTTTATCAATTCTTAATTTCAAGTTTCTACCTGGTAATTTCGATATAAATACCCATATAATAATAATAATTTCAGCCACATCGTGTCATAAATATTTTATCAAACTATAATTAGACAATATAAATATCGGTTACCGAAGGACAGTTAAATACCTAGAATATCAAAGATCAACACGTAAAACTAGGATGTTACCATAAAACAACAATTACACGCAACAATACATAAAATTGGGCTATAGATCGCCAACAACTGAAGGTGGATTACTAAGCTAGAGACCATGGGAACTTATAGTACATTAGGTACCTGCATGGACTCCAGCTGGATTCACACCATACCTTCAGATGTTAAATATACATGAACTCATATCCTACGACTAAAAACATGGTACGGATAAATGTACTTTGAATAGCGTGGTCTTGCGTACCCTCTCAACAATGATAGTACGCTACTTCAACCCCGCTGGAGGATAGAGCTGCAGACAACCCCAGCCATGAGATGTATTTGACCAAACGTAAACATATTCATCAAAACGTATTCAGCAACTTAAATTCTTTTAAAAAATATAATTAAACGAGAATGTATGCTAAAAGATCCTTCATGGCTGAATATTTAAATAGTTATCTCTCGTGACGAAATATTCAATACAATAAAGTAGGACATGCTTGACTGATATTCTTTCAAAATGGAGGATTTTCACCTTTTAATAAATATTCATGCGCATAACGCGAATGGCCAATACGGCCTCGCCTCAAATCTGGACCAGCAACCGAAATAGGTGTAACCGACGTTTGGTTTAATTTGATACCTACTTGTGTGTCCCACCTCTTTTTCATCAGATCTCAGACGAAGCATCTAATTACAGCTTTTTCGCTGTATAGGATAAGTTGTGTCGAAGTTTTGTTGATCGCCGCTTTTGTAGCAGAATCGGCCTCTATATTACCAGTAATTACAACGTGGCTGGGTAACTAACAGAAGACGATGTCACACTGGCCAGGAGCAAGAATATTCAATAATTCAATAATTTCGATTAAAAGTGGATGATTACAAGACAGGTTTTTAATAGCCTGGAGGCAAGATAAGACTCGGAAAATATAAAAACGTAATAACGTTATTTACTAATGTACTTTAGTGGTGTTAATACGCCTTGTGAATAGGCCGTAAAATGGAGTGTGTGAGTTGGGCTTTACGCCAAGGGGTGGAGTAAGAGATGACCTGTTTTGGGTACAGAGGTCCTCATAGAGAGGATTAAAAACAAAGTTGTAGGCTTGGTTAGATTGAAAAGAACGTAGTCTAGAAATAAACTGTAATGATAGCTGAATTGGACGTTGTTTGAGGGAGGGTTCATCAGTTTCAATGTATAAACTATCAATGCTCCAAGGCGAAGCCTCAGGAGTGATGTTGAAATGAATCTAGTTGTTTCATATTGCTTTTGCAAGCTCCACCATTAATAATAGCGCTGTAATCAAGTTTAGAACGGATGAGTGATCTGTACAGTTGGAGGTGGGTCTTCTGAGCCCTTCCCCATTTGAAATTTGAAACCACTTTTAATGAATCCAGTGCCTTCGGGCATTTAGTCTTTAACTGTTTTATAAGTGTTGATAAAAAGGAACATGGTCTCGTTTACAACTTTGATAGGAGCTCCATCCAATAATAATTATGTGTCCTCAAGTGGCTTATATGTTCGGCAAAAATGAACAGAGTAATTGGACGAAGAGATGGGTTTTCAAGTCACGACAGAATGACTCAACGGGGTCCGCATATTTGAGACATGTTGGCAGGCTGTTCCACAGAGTTGGGGCCACAACAGAAAAAAACACTGGCTAGCTATCTTTGTCTTCGTAAAGGGTACACAGAGCTGGAGTTGACCAGATGAGCGGAATCTACGAGCAGGGAGATAGGGAGTGAGGAGGTCCTTCAGTTAAGCTGGAGCAAGTGTCACAGTGGAGGGCAGAAAAGCAGATAGTCAGGATCTTGAAGGATGTACGCTGTTTGATGGGTAGCCAGTGCAGTTCTCTGAGAACTGGGGTGATGCGTTCATGTAGTCTAGTGCGGGTTATGAGGTATCAGAATCCAAATATTTTCGGATTCTACCGATGGTGTGGAGCTTGAAATTGTCGGTTCTTGCTGTTTTGATTGCCTGTGGTTTTCCTTATATGCATTTGTCCATTTCAACTCCAAGACTCTTGACTGAGGATGGCGGAATATGTCCCTACAAGTAGTCTGGTACTGTGAACTTTGTTCAGCTGTTCAGGTGTTCATGTGACCATAAACTCAGTTTTATCACTGTTGAGCTTAGAAATTAGCTCACATCCAGTCCTGAATAGACTTGATGCATATTTGTAGTTGGTCGACTCCATCCTGGATTCGTGTATGCTTTATGCCAATGTACAACTGCTGATGATCTGCATACTTGTGGACGTTGTATGAATGCTGATGGATTATACTTCCTAAAGGCTGTATGCCTCTATTTTGCATCCCTTGTGACGAAAGAAACAAGGTCAAGCATGTCCTAAAGGAACAAATATTTCAGTGTACAAACAGAAAAGGACCGTTTAATAACTTTCATTCTCAATTTATCTTTGATTTCTTTTTACAAGAACTATATGTAAATCATAAATGCTGATGTACAGAGATATTTTCTTTTATTATTTGGGAGGACACAATTATTAACAGAGATTATTTATGGCTGTGCCCTCGAAAGGGGTTGAAGTACCGTAAAATTATTGTCCCCCCTGGGTGGGTATGTAAATCCATGTCTCTCCAAGTATTTATTTACCTACAAGTTTTTAATTGTGGAATCTCTATTATTTTAATTTATGGCTAGACTGGTCGACAATTGCCAAGAACTGAAGGTGTAAATCCAGCTAGGGCCCATGCAGGAAGCAAGTGTTGGTTGTTGTATGTGTATGTGCAGCTGCTTGTACTAGCCCAGACTTAAGCTGGTTTTATAGTGCTAGCCCACTGAGATACCATGCCGCAGTGAAGCATGAATACCCCACTCAGACACATTATACTGACTCCGAGCCGACCAGTCCTTGTTGTACCCATTAATGCCGAGCGCCAAAGGGGGACCAACCCACAAAGCGTTCGTAGCCTACGTTATTCGTAAGAGTTTACGATCGAAAATAAGAAAGTTTTACTAATTTTTACGACCGATCCACAAAGCGTTCTTAATCCATTCGTAAATTCATTATCTTACGAGCATTGTCGTAAATAAAGATCGTCGCTCTCCTGCTGAGGAGGCGACGAATATAGGGGGGTTTCCCAATGACGTCATTACTTCAAGGGAATCCCTGCACTCGGTTAGCAGACGACACATTCCGTGTCACCAACACACCGACATGAATTCCAGTCAATCGTCAGCCACCATCAAGCGCCAGAGAAACAAAAACTGGACCCACACAGAGTTGAGTCTTCTCGTGGAATTTGTCGAGGCAAAAAAAACCTTACTATTTTCGTCATTCACGAACAATGTAACAAACATCATGAAGAAAAAGGCATGGGATGACATTTCACAGAGGTGAGTGAATCTATGAATTTGCGTGAGTCATATCTGGTGTATCAACTTGAGTTGAAGTAAGTAAATACTGATCACGTAAAACATCGATGTTTTGCTTTGAGTACCGAACTAGGTTGAAAGCATTAGAGGCGGTGACTATATGTATGTATCTATGGCCTGTCTCACCAACCTGTCACCGCACGGTGGTAATTCAGAAACTAGTCTGTAGGAATTAGGTTCATGGAAAGGATATTATAGTCAGGAGCTAACGCTGCAGTCACACTGGAAGCCATTTTTGACTCGCAGAAAGGGACAGCACTCTATCCGTCTTTTAGACGATGTAATTCCTGGATGTATTATTTCTGATTCGGAGTTCAACCCCACCCTCTCTCTCACTGTGGGTATATCAAAACACCAAGATTAACGCTTGTCGTTCTAATTTTTTAATAAATGTTCATTGACATTTGTTACAGAATTAGTGCAAACAGTGGGGTCAAGAGACTTACCAAAGATGTCAAAAAGAAGTGGATGGACTACAAGTAAGTGCTAAAATACATCAATATTTTGAACATAATATTTTGTATTAAATAAATTCTACCTGCATGGGATATATCACGTTTGTCCTGACAGTATATATACATTTATACTTTTTTGTTTCATTAGGAGTCAAACAAGGAAAAAGGAGGCAGAAAGGAGGAGGGAGGCAACCAAAACTGGTGGGGGCCTCCACCATCAAGCCTGACAGAAATGGAACAGCGGGTGAGCCTACAGTCCTTTCTGAATCATGAATTTCACGTGTGTCTTTATTAAGATATATGAAATACATCTGGGCATATTGTTTACAGTGTATACAGTTGCTGTTGAATTGTAATTTAACAATTTCATTTCAGGTTGTATCATTCCTGCCTTCATGCACTATTCAAGGTTGTGATGGTGGCCTTGAAAGTGAGGAATTTGAATGTAAGTTCATGAAATGTTATATGTGGAATTGTTTACAGCTGAAACAATCTCAAATGAAATGTTAATTAATATATTTGACACATAGTGTAGATTGTCTCACAAATAAAGGTGAATTTGAAAATGTAAGGAAACCGATGTAATTAAAATTGATTTAAAAATTTGAATAATAATGCAGTTGAGTTACCATACTTTTGGTAGATTTTCCTTTTTGATTGTATGAAATTTTTCAATTGTTATTACAATTCATGTTTTACTTACAGACACTACTCCGGCCACCCCTGAGACTCTCCGTGTACTGCCGGATTTGCCACGTGATGGGGCCTACAGTCTACCTACCTACTCAGAGAGTTTGTTGTCAGCAGATGATGTTCCCCAAGGTTGTTAACATGTACATCATGGATATAATGCTCATTAAGTTTAGGACAAGACATTTATAGGGTTCTGTGTGGAGAGAGAATTATGACAGTTTTAAGCAAGTAATCTATCACAACATAATATGACATCATATCTACAATATCATAGTATCACAGGTTTTACTGGAATGGCTCAATGACTTGATAGTCCACTCTCTCTATGTGTTCATGTTTCACATTGAGAGAGAAGATGGGTGGTATACATTTAATAGTAAAATGTCTTTACTCAGAATTTCAGATTCATGTGATTATGTTTTCATGTCTACGTCCACATTTCAAAATCAATGATGTGTATCTTTATTGCAGTTGATGCAGTTGATACAGTTGATGCAGTTGATACAGTTGCACACTTTTGATGGCCTCAAAGACTCTCAGTGGTATGTACTGTTATTCATGAAGTTTCAAAACATACATAGATGGAAATTGTATTTTGCTAAAGAACTTGTTTGTGTGTATTTGCTATACTGATGGATGGGAAATATCTCCTGGTGTAAAACTTGTGCTATATAATATGAAACTATATTTCAGATAAGGATACTATTGTTATGATAGAGAGGGAGAAACTGAACGTCCTTAAGGACCTGCTTGAAGTTCAAAAGAAGAGACTACACATTGAGGAGCAGAAGTTTGCCTATATCACCTCTCTGCACCAAACTGGCCAATCTGAACTCAATGTGTCCCCAATCATTCAGTTTCTTTGACAAATATGCATTTGCACAACTATTAAAAAATCAGACTGTTCTTGTACCTATTGTTATTATTTATTATAATTGTGCCCAATGACACCATGATTAAGAAAAGCAGTTGTTTATGACAGCTTGTCGAACTTTGAAACCATCATTTAGAGGTCCCTGGTAAGATATCCCATCTTCATGGGTAAGGTCTTCCAGTGTTGGAGGAGCTGGCAATCTGAGGTTGATGCAGAAATTGTGTAACTGACAGGTTGCATACACAACTTGATGGCATTTCTTTGGGTTGAATGGGAGGCAGCCACCTGATTTATGTAGGCACCTATAAACAAAACATTGTTATTTGTTCAGCATAAGACAAATTTTACTAGTCAAATTATTCCTATAAATTGAAGTATTCTTGACGGATCATGTCTTTCATTTACTAAGAAGTTTGAGTATCAATAATATCACATTATGCTTGTATTATATTATTACATCTCAATCTGTCACGAGCCAAAAAGTAATCTCTCCAATATATGAGCATCTCAAATAGTGTTATAATAGTTTTAGAAGAATAATGTATGAACTTGCACATGCCTAAACCTGGATTTGAGGAGTCCAAAAGCCCTCTCCACAGTATTGCGTGTTCTGCAGTGAGCAGTGTTGTACCGCTCCTCAGAAGGTGTGGTTGGATTGACTTTTGGTGTAAGCAGCCATGGGCGACAGGCATATCTGATGGAAAAGTAATAAAAAAGTATAAATAAGCCATACCATTAATAACATAAAGTCAACATGAATACTACAATAATACATATCAACTAAAGGGTGAAATAAAATTTCATTTCTTGATTGATTTAAACATTGCTGTCTTCAATTTAACTTTAAATTTTTAATCTAATTGTAATGTTATTTATTCATTTATTTATTTATATTATTATTATTATTTTTTTTTTTTATTTATTTATTTCTATTTTAAATTTTTATTTATTTATTTTACCCTGAATCACCTAGCAGCCATCCGTCAATCCCAGCCGTCTCCATGTACTGCCCAATGCTGCTGTTTTGAAGCATAAACGAGTCATGAACTGACCCAGGCCACTTTGACACCACACTTGTGAACCTATGGATTAAAATTATAATTATTCCATCAACCATGCATTCATTATTGACAAAAGTTATGTAATTACTTTCTAAAACGGCAATAGCAACCTTTTTGGACCTCATGGCATAACCCATATTGGGCCTTGCGTAATGATTGGTTATGAAAACGAATAGGTGGCACCTCTGGTCACTGTCAAGGTCATTAATGGAGTAAACAAGGTGTGTATCCTTCGAAGTGTTACATTATGATTCCCCATCATGATTGAATACGGGTAGTATACATATGCTGAAAGCATAACGCATTAAATGTGGACGTTTTGGTCTATAGTAGTTAGTTTCTAAGTAGTGTCACGTACCTTAGTTCTGCGTCACAGACAGCTTGAACGTTTACGGCATGGAAACCCTTTCTGCACACGTAAACAGCTTCTTCGTCATCGCTGGGTCGCATAATAGGGATAAGAGTTCCATCGATACACCCAAGCACCTTTGGAAATCTAGCAAGGTTATAGAAAGATTCCTTGGTGGCTCGTTGGTCGGATGCTGCCTTTGGAAATGATATTTTTTCATATGTTTGACAATAGCATCGTTTGTGCGGGTAAATACCCGTGACACAGTGGACTGGGATACCCCATGCAAGTCCGCTAGCTCAGAGAAAAACGATCCCTTACCATAATATCTGAGGGCAATTAAAACCTGTGTTTCCGGCGACAATGCATGAGAACGCTCGGTTTGGTAAGCAAGATATGGTGATAGTGAGTTTACAAGCTCAAAAATGGCATGACGTGGTAGACGATATCGCCGGACTATGCTGTCATCATCCAGCGTATCGAGAACCCGAGTTCGGTCCCGAAATACCCTTGGTCGTGATGGTTTTGACTCTTCTTCAACTAAGCCGAGCAGAAAATATGCAGCCATCTTAATTCTCAAGTTACGACAGAAATGTTTGATTTACGATAGGCGCTGGCCGTTCTTAAATTTTCTCTTAACTTTACGAGATGTTTTCACTAAGATAGCTTTGTGGATCGCTTAAGATTTGTGTCTTAAAGTTACGATAGGTTTTACGATGTTCTTAGCGCTACGAACGCTTTGTGGATCATGAAAGGTCGATACTAGCAAATATCATAGTCTTTCCACAATAAGTACTGCCAATCTTCAACAAAACTATGAATATTCGAGGGAAAATAAACGCCACGCTCCCACTGTATATTGCCAGCATATCCACATGCGTGTAGTGTTATTATTGTGTATTGCCAGAATATCCACATGCGTGTAGTGTTATTATTGGCTATTGCCAGCATATCCACATGCGTGTAGTGTTATTATTGTATATTGCCAGCATATCCACATGCGTGTAGTGTTATTATTGTGTATTGCCAGAATATCCACATGCGTGTAGTGTTATTATTGGCTATTGCCAGCATATCCACATGCGTGTAGTGTTATTATTGTATATTGCCAGCATATCCACATGCGTGTAGAGTTATTATTGTATATTGGCAGCATATCCACATGCGTGAAGTGTTATTATTGTATATTGCCAGCATATCCACATGCGTGTAGTGTTATTATAGTATATTGCCAGCATATCCACATGCGTGTAGTGTTATTATTTTGTATTATCTTACACTACAATTGTTGTATGTAGTGTGTATGTACATTCATGTTTTTTAAATAGCGGGTACAAATTCCGCAGGTTTCTCACTTTTGATTGCAGGTTTCTATTCACTGTATATTATTGTTTAATACTCGGCTTTAGGTTGACCTAAGCCTGGCGTACACTAATGTGGCCACTTATTTTACTTGACATACTTGAATTATATAAGGAGCTTGCTACTGGCCAATACGACACCGTCTTTTGTTGGTTGCCCCGTGATAACCCTATAGCTGATATTGATACAAAAGCTGTCCTCAACAAGTCTGTGACACCACTTCTTATCCTATTCACTGATTATAAACCTGTTATTATATCGTACATCTGTGATCTGATGCAAAAGAAGTTGGACACCCAGTAGGTATAAATAAGTAACATGAAATTACCTACTTTCTCTGTCAGTCCAGACTTGAAGAAGTTAAAATAAAACGTATTGGTTATTCAAAATACTCCCATGAATATCTTTTAAAAGGCGAGTGACCCGTAAAGGTCCGGGTTAGAATTGGCCTTCAGTAACCCATGCTTGTTGTAAGAGGCGACTAACGGGATCTGGTGGCCAGGCTCGCTGACTTGGTTGACACATGTCATCGGTTCCCAATTGCGCAGATCGATGCTCATGCTGTTGATCATTCGATTGTTTGGTCCAGACTCGATTATTTACATATATCTAGAATACTGCTGAGCGCGGTGTAAAACCAAACTCACTCATTTAAAAGACGATAATCCTCCATTCTGTATCCCTTTTGATGAAAGAATCACGGTCAAGCATGTCATATTTCGCGGTTTCATCCTTAAAAGATCTGTGAATTAACTGATCAGTGTTGAATTGTGTTGTAATTAGTCAGGTCACATGTACCGGGTCACCTAGCAGGAATCACGACCGGTCATCTGATACCCGGACGGTATCCTCCCAATGTAAACCAAATCGTCCAGCTCCAGAACAAGCGCCGTTCGATGCCTGGATTAATATCGCTCGGTTCCCACTAGCTAGAAAAGGAGCCCACTCTGTGCCCGATCAGTGAAAGTTGGTAGTCAACACAATGCCAGGATCTGCGAGGCCAGGCAAACACTCGGTCGTCTCCGAGCCCTAACCCTGGACCAGGAAAACATCCAGCTATCCACGAAGCTCAGGGTGCACAAGGCTGTCGTTCTGACTAGCCTCCTCTACGGATGTGAGACGTGGACCATATACAAAAGTTCCTTGAAGCAGCTGGAGAAGTTACACGTGAGAGGGCCTGCGGTCGATTATGAACATTCACTGGCAAGACCGGGTCACAAACTTTGATGTCCTGAACAGAGCCATGTTGACCAGCATCGAGGCCATCATCCTGAAAGCCCAGCGCCGATGGGTTGATAGCGTGATCGCGACAGATTACCACATAAGATCATGGCAGACCACACAAGATATTCAATGACTGGGTGAAGTCCAATATGAGACACTCTGGCATTCCCCCCCAAACAGTTAGAGAATCGTGCTATGGACAGGCCAGGCTGGCGGCGCCCTCATTACCCAGGTGCAAGACAACTTTGAGGAGAAGAGGCGAGCTGATGTAGCTGAAGCATATGCACGAAGAAGGCGTCAGTCGCTGACACTGACCACCCCGAACAGTTTCCACACCCCTACTGCACCCGTGTCTCGGGGTCTCGGGGGTCGCCCTGGACAGCCACCTCCGCGCCTTTCAAGTAAAGGACTTAACATCCGAGGACAGTCATCATCGGATCGATGGACCAAGAAGACCTCGGATGGTACTCAATCCCAGGAAGTACTGTAATTTGCACTTCACTTACAAAATATAATCTCCAAAATAACTTGTGCTGCATTCGGCCACTGCCTGAAATGTGCTTCAGCTAAAGATATATTCCATAATTGGACAGGGATGTTAAAATCCTGTCTTGGACTAAGTGTTGTAACAGTGTGTTTGAGAAGACCCATTCAGAAAAGACCTTCATTGAATATGTGCAAAGACCTATCATGGCGGTTTATGTTATATTGTACACTAAATGAAATAATACTGATCCTCTTCAAGAGCTTATTCTCGCCATTACCTAATAAAGCAGTACTTTACCATGGGTGATTTTGGTCTGACTTTACACCCAAAAAGCGTTTACAAGCAAGAAAAGTCAGATTAGCAAACTCCCAGCCATAACACGGCGGGGCACACCAGAAATAGGCTTTACACATTGTACCCATGAGGTGAATCGAACCCGGGTCTTCAGCATGACGAGCCAACGCTTTAACCACTAGGCTACCCCATCGCCTCTCCATCAGTATCAAGGGTAGTAGCTAGCACGTAGATGAAATATATTAGCACACGGTAAAGGTTTTAACAAAGTAGGAGTTTCTTACCTGAGTAAATAAGATCAGTTTGATAGTTGGCCACATAGTGATTTGGCCACAGAGTGACTGACGTCGTATTTCAGCTTTTACTGATTAAACTGACGATGAAGTGATATTAAGTGTCACTGGGTTTGAAGCACAGCTTGACCGGTGTGTACCGTAGCCGATAATAGTTTAGATAATTTAGAATTATATCGTATGAAACAGAGAGAGACGGATGAAGAAAGAGACAGACAGACAGACAGAGGGAGAACTTCTTTGAGAGGCAATTAGAAGTTGGAGCAGTATGGAAGGATAACAATATAAAGAGGAATAGAGGAAGAAGGACAGAGGCAGACAGATACATACAGAGGGAGGAAGAGAGAGAGAGAGACAGAGAGACGGAGGAAGAAGGAGAGAGACAGACAGAGACGGAGGAAGGAGAGAGAGAGACAGACAGAGAGATACGGAGGAAGGAGAGAGACAGACAGACAGAAACGGAGGAAGGAGAGAGACAGACAGACAGAGACGGAGGGAGGAAGGAGAGAGACAGACAGACAGAAACGGAGGAAGGAGAGAGACAGACAGACAGAGACGGAGGAAGGAGAGTGGCAGACAGACAGAGACGGAGGAAGGAGAGTGCCAGACAGAGAAGGAGAGAGACAGACAGAGACGGAGGAAGAAGGAGAGACAGACTGACAGACAGAGACGGAGCAAGAAGGATAGAGAGACAGACAGAGACAGGAGGAGAGGATAGACGGACAGACAGAGAAGGAGACAGACAGAGAGGAGGGGGAAGAGAGACAGACAGACAAAGAGAGAGGAGGAAGAAGAGAGAGAGAGACAGACAGACAGAGAGGAGGAAGGAAAGAGAGACAGACAGACAGAGGGGGGAGGAAGGGAACAGAGACAGGGAGACAGACAGACAGAGAGAGGGAAGGAGAGAGGGAGAGCAAGTGAGGGGACTTTTGTGTGGGACTTTAGTGCGCGTTACATTTTAGGTCACATCGACATTTAGCTATATATAGTGACAACAGAAGGCCACAACGCAAGGTCACACAATATAAAACAAATTCAGCTTTCATTAAAGCCTGCCGTCGAAGGGCAGTATAACAAATACAATATCGCAGATCAAATCTAAAACTATTCTTTGAGTTTATTTAAACAATGACTTATTATTCCGCAACACAACATAAAATTAAATTACTGATCACCAGCAGCCTAAGTTTGGCCACAATGCTTGGGTTCCATGGACACTTAGAATGGTTATCTCCCATTTGACAGACACCCATTTGACAGACACCCAATTGGCAGACACTGAACTAGAAGGTTAATTAGGGTAACACCTACGGGTATAATGCAACAGTCCACTGTCCAGTGAGTAGAGCAGGGTGAGCCTGAAGCAGGCTTGTTACTGAGAAGTTTGATTGTGGGTAAATAGAACTTTGTTGTGATTAGATGATAAATGATATCTCTTCTCAAAATTGATTTTACTTTCAATTACTATCTAATATTAAAAACAGGTTTGTCACTTAGAGGTTATGATTGCGTTTATTGATAGAAAAGCCCCCCTCCCAATAATAGCATATGTACAACAGAAGTTAACTGAGAAAACGTTTTGTGGGAGAGATATAGATATGTACATATTTGAAAACATTCTGATTTACAGTAAATGAGACACCTGCATTGCCATGTAAGATACGATTAATACCAATCAGTGTTCTAATTTTAACAATACTTTCTAAAGATTGTAACAGTTTATGTCTTTGAGTAGTATACAATGGACATTCAAGGAATTAATGAAAAACGTCTCACAACCATGGCCACATTCACATGATGCGTCATATTTTAAATATTTATTCTAAATAAATCGTAATTAAGTGCACTCGCCATATATCTTAATATTGTGTGCAAAACATATAACTTCTATATTCCATATGAATAATATTTAGGTTCACATTTGTCTTTATTTGATTTATATGATACAACAGTGTCGCAATTTCTAATAGATAAGCTAATGTTTTCAAGATGATGATGACAACTCCCGTTAGACTAGAAATGTTTATGTCTTTTCATCCATCTTTCAAATAAATAATATAGCTTCAGTTTGTTCCTGTGTCTTTATTTGGACTATTCCATTATAATGTGTAGGTAACAGGTAGTAGATAATCTGTTCACTGAACCGTAAATGTTGTTGTTTTAAGGTGTCTGCGAACTGGCTGTCTGCGTAATGGGAGGACACCCTTAGAATACTTGTGCACGGTTCCCCGGCCGTAAGTACACCATCCTTTCAGCTGCTGGAGATTGTATGCTACTTAAGCCAACGATTTAAATTTGAAAAAAAATATCATCCTCTAAGGGGACAATAAATTTAAACTACTTTAACTCCACACCCCCACCCCAAGCATACAGCCATTTACCATCTTAGTTGCGAATTAAACACTACCGATTTTAAAAATCAAGTCTGTACTCAATGTCAGACTGTATGAAAGAATTACATTAAATTCTCTTTTAAAACACCACGGAACAAATGAGCAGCAACATAATTACACAGATCCTTTGTAGATGAAACATTGAGACAGTTTCCCCTTACCTTAGTAAGCGCCTACTTGGGTGTCCCACTCCTTTTGCGTTAGATCTCTGATGTAACATCTAACGGCAGCTTTGTACGGAAGTAAGGACGCGTAGTAGGGCCACGGTGAAAATCTTTTGGGGTCACTATCTCCTAGGAGATATTAAGACCTACGTAGGACTTAGTATATCCTACGTAGGAATTTAGTATCACCTACGTAGGAATTTAGTATCACCTACGTAGGACATATTATCTCCTACGTAGTACTTAATATATCCTTTTTAAGTTGAGAAATGTTTGGCTATGCAGGACGTTAGTTTTCATTCACTATTAGAGTCTATAGTTATGTGTTTCATCTCAAGTCAAAACATTGATTATACAACAGTCTCGTTTCCTGTTGACTGGTCTCCGTCCTATTGCGCAACTTATTACAATAACCAGTCAAGAATTTTAGGACCAATTCATTTAACTGGATGAATAAATATTAATCAGTATTACTAGTATATGATACATCTAAGCACTTGTATATTGCAACACTACGCTCCTTCTAAGCCTTGCAAACACGTCTTGCAGCGTGCTCTGTCGTACAGCGAGCTCTGACAAACGGAAACCTGAAAATCGTGGAAATGTCAAAACGAGGCTCTGCCGCTAGAAGTGTTTGGCGGTCTGGTACGGAATTGATATTATATCAATCACATTTTACGTTACAGGACTACACTGCATAAGCGCAAAAAGCACATAACACGTGTAACCAGTGAGCCAGATGTACTGTGAATCATTTTACGACCTCATCAAACAGGGGCAGTCTGTGACGTCTTAGTTAAGGTCATGCTGCAAACATCTCGCCATAAAATATAGAAATACGATATTATTACAGTTTAAAATTAAAATTCATTTATGAAAATACCAATTTTTTTTATGAAACAAGGAATTGGAATTCAGTGTAACCATAGTTGTTTGTGATGTCTATTTTCATTTTCACACGAGAAAATTAGGATCGGCTGAAAAGTAGGTCATTGTCTGAATGGGTTAATGAACTCATGTTTCGGTTTGCTGTTAGAGTCTACTATCATGTGTGTTTGTGTGTGTGAATAGATGTGTGTATGATAGATTAAACATAACCATACCTAAACCTCCATAACTGCAGTTAGAACAGGGTCCACGTCACCCTAACGTTATACACACACAATAACACTGTATAGTAACACTGCGTTAGTGTCATGAATATTCACTGACTCACATTTCAACTATCTAACGTCCTGCATGTGTGCTACGAGACTGTACTCTGCAGATGACTTCAACACGGAGAAAACCGTTTCCCCTTCAGCAAGCTGTTCACCAACATCTTTACTGTAGTGGACAAGGTGTCACTAAATGCAACTGTGCTGGCTCAAAGCGTTGTCAGACCAATCGCTGCAAGTGTTACAAGGCAAAGATTCAATGTGGTTCTAAGTGTCACTCAACACTCTCATGTTCAAATATAAATTCACGAACAAAATCAAATCAAATTTATAAAATTCAATGTGATGTACATTGTTCCTAAAAATGAACACATATCAAACCAGACTGACTTTAAGAGTAATGACAATAATATTTCAGTAATTTAAATGATTTCAGTAAATATTATAATTTTGTTTCTTAAATTTCAGGAATTATGTATAATTACTGAAAATATCAGTAAATATACATAATTCCTGAGTAAATCAGACATTATACATAATTACTGAACTTTTCAATAATTATACATATTTACTGATTATACATATTTCCTGTAACATATACACATGGAGTGTCCTCACAGATAAATATTATCGATTGATATTCGAAGGGACATTACTCTTGTGGGCTTCAAAGGAGAAATGACAGGACTTTCAAATAACATCACCGCTCAGGATAGACATCTAGGTCTAATGTATTTCCGTTTCGAAGATAAAGCATATGATATTCTAAAAGAAAATTGATAAAAGTATCTTTTCGTGATTGAATTATACTAGCCACATAAAGAAACTGTGCACACAGAAAATGCCTTCAGAATTGGAATACAACACAGCAAAGACGAAATGATGAAGGCTTTTTATATGCTGAAGTATCGGATCTCAAGAAAATGTCTAAAGAACATGAACAATATCCGTAACGATGACGTCAGAAGTTCAAAATCGAGTAGGGCGTCACACGACGAAGTCACAAAGTCAATAACGGGTATGACCGCCGTGTGCGTGGAGCACAGCAGTGCATCGACGACGCATAAAGGCTAGTAGATGAGCACTGAAGGCCTGGGGAATGGTCTGGGGCGTGGTCACTGCTGTCTGGAACCTGTGTCTGAGATGAGTCACCCAAATCCATCTGTCCTGTCTTGGCGTCGTTACGTCGGGAACGCCCAGAACGTGGGTGGTCGGCGACGTCATTCCTGTTTTCATAACGCCTAACCAATGCAGATATCGTTTTACGATGGCATTGGAAATGTGCTGCCACCTGTTGTTGGCTCATTCCTGCTCGAACCATTCCAATGGCTTCATGACGTTGAACAGATGTTAATCTTGGCATGATGTGCATGTGACTTCTCATGTGGATTTGTAAACGTTTGAATGACCAAAATCAAGCTTTCGACAGTGACAGCAATTTCAGAGTTTCACATGCAGTGTGCAGCTGCACAGGCTGCACGTGCAGTAGCACATTGCCAGGTCATAGGCCATCGTCAATGACGTCACGTCGCCTGGCACGTGCATGAGCGTTTAATTGTCTCCAATATTTGCTATGTTCACAAATGTGTTTATGTATGAAGACGCTGTGTGCTTATGTTTATATTTTCTGTGTGCACAGTTTCTTTATGTGGCCAGAATAGCTGAATTCTTCTCTTCAGTTTGATTTCAATGTCAAAGATGTCAAATTGTCAACGTTGTCCATGTTTAGTCGTTGTTACTGGGTAAGATAGAGTCATGCTACCCGGGAAACTTTAGATTTCGGTTTCATATGCATTAGCTGTTAACAAATCATAAAAGTGTTCTAATTTATCTAAAGGGAAAAGAAAAGACTTGCGGTAGAGTCAGAGAGTCGCACTGCACCATAAACACCTTAATGGTGCTTTTTTATTTATTCTAAAAAATGATGTTGACAGATTGATTCAATTGATTCTACACCCTTCCTCTTTGTGTTTTGTCTTCTTCTTTGTGTTGTGTACCCGTTAAGATCGGGGTTAGAATGAATCTTCAGTATCCCATGCTTGTCGTAAGAGACAACTAACGGGATCGGGTGGTCAGGCTCGCTGGCTTGGTTGACACATGTCACTGTTCCCAATTGCGCAAATCGATGCTCATGTTGTTGATCACTGGATTGTCTGGTCCAGACTCGATTATTTACAGACCGCCACCATATAGCTGGAATATTGCTGAGTGCGGCGTAAAACTAAACTCACTCACTCACTCACTTTGTGTTGTGTTGTAGATCTACGCCGACACATTCTGAAATATGGTACAGTTAGACGGAGATGTATGAAAATAGTGTTAAATTGTTTTATTTTCTGTAAAATATGCATGATATCAATGTCTGTTGATGTTCAGACGGGGGACGCAATATGTGTGTCCTCGCTGAATGGCGAGTCACATATTTACAAATATTCAACAAATGACTCATATCTCATCTTATGCTACAAGAAAATAATGGTCCACTGCCATATTTAATGGAATGACCAAACACGAAACAATTGAAAGTGTCCATGTCACATCCCAGGTAAGACGACCTGGCGAAAGTAAAGAAGCGTACATTTTAATAGAGGAGATCATGCTGTGGCGATACGTCGTACTATTATATCCGGTGACAAGGGGATGTAATTTAATAACAAGTGGCACACAGTGAGGCTACGTGAAGTAGGAACAAGGAATAGTATGCTCCATAAAGTCAATATGCAGGTCTGATTACACAATGTCATTTAGAAAGTGGTCAAATGTAACATACTTTTAATTTGGTATTACGCTTTCTCGGTAAAGTACAAATTTTAGTACGTTTATGGAGTATCAGCACTCCAATCCTCAGGGTATATCCAATCCTCTTTGTAAGCGTTGATATTTTGGTTCAAACATTTTTGTTCTTTCTTCAAATGTATGTCTAAGACTTATCCTGTTGAAGTTGAAGAAGGGACGGCCGCTAAAGAAATATTCTCCTTCTTCACCGAGTTGTGGACATTCACCTTCCTTACTGTACGAGTTGATAGTAAAGATGGCATACAGTTTGTTTCCTTTATTGTTGTTACACCTTTCCAGACTTGATCTAAGTTCACGAAAACGACTCTTGAGGCGACTTTTGTCCTTTGGTAAATCAACTGCCTTGAATACGTCTTGAAATATATAACACGTGTGTTTGTGTTGATCAACAAAATACTGCTGGTTAAATTTCAAAACATCACTCACAAAAACAACCTGATAACCTTCATCTTGGCACTCTTTTCCTAGCATTAAAGCTATAGTTGTCTTTCCTGCCCCAGGTGTTCCACTCATCGTCACACGACTGCAAGACCCCAGGATTTCCTTCATTTTCTTGTAAAGTTTGGCAATCACAAGGGGCTTTTCGGTTTTCATCAACTCCTTCCTCAGTAAATCTGTTTCAAAATTATATGAGTAAAATTGTGTGTGTATTTTAGATATTTTGAGTGTATGCAAAGATATTCCACTTAAGATCAGTAAAATGAGAAGTAGATTCCTAGGATGCAATTAAAATGTCTTTATAGAAGCTTTTGGTGTGTGTCTACCTTCACTCCAGACTCCACGTTGGGGCTTCTCCTCCTCGTCAGGTGGATCTCCTGCTGGACGAAGCAAATGATTGGTTGATGTGAATAACTATATATCATGTAGCATAAGGTTACACTTACACTGAGCTGCAGCTGCAGATAGATATACATAGTGGGTCCTGTCTACCTTCACCCAAAGCAATACCTGGCACTAGAAATGGAGCTTGTTTGTTTTAAAGAGTAAAAGGGTGTCTTCGGAAACTGGATATTTATTTTACTTAAACATGCTATTCACAATAAATGAACGGAGTTGAGAAAATACCTCTTAGCATAGCTTATCTGCTGTATTTACGTATTTTACAGTATGTATGGACAAAACACTGTTGACGTTTAAAGAGAGATTGAGAGGGACGGGGAAATGTACTTTGTTGCATATACAGCTCCTTATACAAATCTGATTGGATGTTGGAACGCAGACATGTCTGTTTGTGAGTAGTGAGAAGGCTGGGTTTTACTTTACATTTAGCAACATTCCAGCAATATCATGGAAGGGTCAGAAGAAATGGGATTCTCACAGATTTAAGTGTGTGTCCAATTATCAGCAATGCAGTCATTTACACATTCCCACCCTCATCTGTTCTCGTGGCTTGTTGATGAGGGGTCTGGGGAATTATGACCTCCACCAAACCCAACTCATTAACAGGTTGCTGTGAAAGGTGAAATATTGTTATCTGTGGTGTTATTACTTAATTGAATTGATCTGAGGACGAAGTTAAAATGTTTCTGTTTTGTAGTTTGGGCAGCTACTGAAATAATATATTGTGTATGTGTCTACCTTCACTCAAGGCACCACTGTTCGTCGGGGGCTTCTGCCTATGTGGATTTCCTGTTGGATGAAACAAATGGGTGATCAGTATCTATATGATATCTTGTGATACAAATGTCGAAATACTGGATATAAATAGCTCTACGTTTCCGTAAAACCTACCGATTGATTTACTGTTTCTTGGGTAAACTGTTATTTGTATACCTTCACTCAAGGCACCACTGTTTGTCGGTAGCTCCTGTCTAGGTGGATTTCCTGTTGGATGATACAAATGGGTGATCAGTATGTATATGATATTTTCTGATACAAATGTCGAAATACATGAAATAAATAGCTGTAAGTTTCCGTAAAACCTACCCATTGATTTAGTTTTTTTGGAGTAAACTGTTTTTTGTCTACCTTCACTCAAGGCACCACTGTTTGTCGGTAGCTCCTGCCTAGGTGGATTTCCTGTTGGATGAAACAAATGGGTGATCAGTATCTATATGATATTTTGTGATAGAAATGTCGAAAAACGGGATAGAAAATGTTTCTGTTTAGTTCTTTTGGAGCTCTGCAAAGCAGCTACAGAATATGTGTTTAGTTCGTGACCGAACCTCAGCGACACACGCCATCGGTCATTTTCAAAGACGGGCATCGCAGCATAAGGTGGCAAGGCATTTGAGCGTGTCAAGACAGATCATCTCAAACCTTTGGACCCTAAACAACAATACTGGGAGTGTAAATGACAGACCCAGGTCAGCTCGACCTAGAGTTACGCCACATCTGGTTGAGACATCTTCGTTCAAATTCCACGGCCGCATCATCCACAACAATCATAATCCCTGGACTGCGCCGAACCTCCGACCAGACAGTGCACGATTGGCTATGAGAAGCCAGACTTTTTGCCAGAAGACCAGTTCAACGTCACGTTGTCCCCTTCATCAACGTCAACGGTTGATCTTTGAAGCATGACAATGCTCGACCTCACGTTGCACGTGTTTGACAGGTCTTCCTCCAGCAAAACAATGTTCAGGTGTTACCTTGGCCTTCTCCATCGCCCGATTTGTACCCCATTGAACATGTTTGGGCTACTCTGGATCTATACTTGACCCTGCGTAATCCACCATCTCAGATACCACAAGAACTGTACACAGCACTTCAGCAAGTGTATCAAAACATTCCTCAAGACAGCAGTCGGCATCTCCATTCTTCTATGTCACCGCTACCAAGCTGTTATCGATACTCATAGTGGTCAGACCACGTGGCTTTAATAGCCCTCTGTGGTTTTGCCAAACACTTTCTTGATGATAATGTTTTGGAAATTTGTAAAATGATGAATTTACTGTAAATAAGCAAATGATGTCATGTTTGAAATCAGTTATATGCACTCAGTAACTAATCTCCAAAATAGCATGTCAAGTTTCGGGGTTTTTTTTAAGAGAATATATTGTTTTTGCTTCGTTTGTAAATGTATTGCTTAAATGACAAACATCACAACAATAGTTGTGGATACCATATTTACCTCGGAGGAGTAGTTTTTAAACAGGGTTGATCATCACTAATACCACGTTTACACCAGTTGTGCGACGGATCTACGGCCGAAAAATAACCCACGATCACACTCCCTAAAATGAAGTCGTAGTGGAGTGGCGGTGGGGCCTCTGTGAGGTCTCTATCGTTTCCGAAAGTATCGCTAACGATCTCCATCACTCTCAACCGGTCACATTAGGTTTGGCGAGCGTCGTGAATGGTTCTCCACTCTCGCACAACGTCTGCGTCCAACTCACAGTCGCACTTTTCGTAATGCATTCTCCATCCAGTTCCTTTGATCGCACCCAGTTTTAGAGGCTCAGTAGCAGCGTTGTTGTATAGTTCTATCCCTTGTCTCCATCCTCCTTATATGACGTTGTGATTGTCATCCTTACAGTATTCTGGATGCCCAATGATGTTTTGAAGTACTATACATCACTGCGTTATAGTCTGGACAATTTCATGTGCTTGATACAACACAGTCACCAGACACCGCCATCTGTTAGCCATAATACCGAAGGCGTCTGCCACACATCGGCCAATTGATAAACGGTAGTTGTAGATCCATTCCTCCTTGGTCATGTACCTGTTAGCCTATGGCTTCAACATAAATGCTGTTAGACCATGGCTTCAACATAACTGATATTTAGGCAAAGGCATCTTTGGCCAGTATGAAGTAATGGCAGGTTCCTTGGTTGAACATCTGCGTCAGCATCAGCCTGTTCATTAGGTTCAGGAACTAGGAGACCATGTGTACCAGTCTCCAAGTGGTCCTTCAGATCCGATGCATGAAATATTGGAGCATCTGATTGGTGTTCAACGCCTCCAGTATCCACCCATTGGACCTTGTAGTTGTAGTCCACAAGTACCAGGAGAACGGTGGAGTAGCACCAAGTGGCAGTTAACTGATTTTGATGTGCTTTAATCCAGGGACCCTATGGCATGAAGTACTTGCCATTTTTGTTCAATTTTCTGGCTATTTCCTTTACCTCATCTGGTGTCGTAAGAGTCTTGAATATCTCGTCTCTGTAGGCACCCACGATAGCCTGGCCAACTTGGGATACCTTGTTTTGTTTTGATGACTTGCTCACCCTGTAGCTGTAAGCCATGCTTGTATACTGGTCACCAGTGTCCGTGACAGTTTCAGTCAATCGATCTTTAGTACAGGCCTATAGTACATTTATATACACAATATTTACAACTGAGCAGCAGAAAAGCACATGTCAAATATTTACAGATAACAAATTTAAAGCCAATTTTTCTATGTATAAATGCAAAATAGATATACATTGACAGGTTCTGTAATTCAATAGTATTTTCATTTGGTAATAATATAGTCATTTCTATTTCATTTAGATGGGTATAACAGTAGGATGTTAAATATTTCTTTCTAAGGTTTTCATAGACGGGGCAGATAAAACGAAAAAAACGGCATTCGTCTTTTACAGCATTAACGTTACAGAGGTTGCAAATTCTACGGTTACGAGGAACATTCATATATCGCCCAGTTTCAACAAACAAGTGGTGTGATGAGCAGCGAAAACGGGATAAAGCTACACGGAATTTCTTTACAGTTATGTTTGATAAATAATATTCTTGGCATAGTTCATGTTTCCAATGTTTATAATACAGACATTTAGAGGATAGATTGATAGATTCAAGCCATTTTTTGTTGATAGATGTCCTTCATTCTTTGGGTCAGTGATATAATAAAGAATTTTCTGGTTGGGCGTTCTGATTATTCCAAACATAACCATATCCCGTTTTGAATAAAAATTCCCTTACATTAGTTACCCAATTTCTTTTCTCATTTTTATCATATACTATCATCATATCATAACACTTCTTAGGAAATCTATGACATGGCATAGTATCATAACCAGTACTGACCAAGTGACAGTTTCAACCCTGCTTCCAAAGAGGCTCTGTAGTTATTGCCTTTTCCTGTGATGTTGGATCCTATTCTCTCCTAAATGTCAGCAAACAGCTCCACAGGCGTTCTAGTGTAGTTTTTGAACTGATTTGGATTGTCCTACTTCAACCTCTGGACAAGTCCCGGTCCTTTTCAATCTAAGTTACACTGCTTATATTGAGTCTAACAAACCCTAATAGTCTGTTTATTACCGAAGTCGTGAAATTAAACCCAAATCTATACTTTCAAACACAGGCTGGCTACCCGCCCTCGCCGCATGTAGAACGCAACTTCACAGAAGAAACGTGACGTCATAGCCTTATTCATGAAGTCACGTCACCATGACAAAGTGATATTTTGCCTAGGACATCGTATGAAAAATATTAACCCTGATATGTTCACCCTCGTAGGTAATAAACAGTGTTATGTGTCTACCTTTACTCTTGGTACGCTCCTCCTCCTTCTCCACACCCGCCTCCTCCATCTCCTCCTCCTTCTCCACACCCGCCTCCTCCATCTGCTCCTCCTTCTCCACACCCGCCTCCTCCATCTCCTCCTCCTTCTCCACACCCGCCTCCTCCATCTCCTCCTCCTTCTCCACACCCGCCTCCTCCATCTCCTCCTCCTTCTCCACACCCGCCTCCTCCATCTCCTCCTCCTTCTCCACACCCGCCTCCTCCATCTGCTCCTCCTTCTCCACACCCGCCTCCTCCATCTCCACACCCGCCTCCTCCATCTCCTCCTCCTTCTCCACACCCGCCTCCTCCATCTCCTCCTCCTTCTCCACACCCGCCTCCTCCATCTGCTCCTCCTTCCTCCCGTCAGGTGGGTCTCCTGGTGAATGAAACCAGTGGGTAATCAGTGGGGTTAATGACGGATTTATACATGAAGACAATATGTCCTGGCGGGTGACAATTGTGACGCAATGAACATTAGGCAAATAAAGGCACTACTCATTATACGATTAAAAGTGTCAGCAGTATGTTTCATTCATATTTATTGTGTCTTGTTCTCAAATGTTTTGGGTAAATGACAAACATCGCTAAGATAACTATGGACACCATGTGTATCTCAGGGGGGGATTATGTGACCAGAAGTTGCATGGCTGCTGCACAAAACGCGTCTACCTTCACGCACGGCTCCACTGTTTATCAGGAGCTCTTCCTCAGTTGGATCTCCTGCTAGATGAAAGCAATATGTAATCAGTTGATATATTAGAATCTCATTAGGTTTCCCTGAAATAGACAGAATCAACGTTCTCACAGCTTTCCTGAACCATTACACTTGCCAGTTGTATAGTCGATAACGTAGCTTTGGAAACCAGAAGTTATTGATCTTAAAGATGTATATTCAGCAGAAATTAACGTGATTTAAGAAATATCTTTAGGCTTAGCTTGCATTATCTCCATAGGTACGTATTTTACAATGACAGTATGGATAGGTATAACACTGTTGAAAGTTCAACGTGGTGAGAGGGGGGGAGGATAGAGGGAGGTGCATTGTTGAAGGAACTATTCTGTACCCAAATCTGTTTGATTGTTTGAACACAAACGTGGCCATTTAAGCTTTAGTGAGGGAGGTTTACGCCACGTTTAATAATATTCCAGCGGAGCCACACGAAATGGGTTTGTTATTGATGTCTGTGTCCAACCATCATCCATGAAGCATAGTCTGCAGCCATTTACACATTAGCATACTCAGGCTTTTCGTAGCTCGTTGCTGTGAGCATTGTCACAGACACAGACTTGCACCGAATGACCACATGGAGCAGCCAAGACATGACATCAATTAAAAATGCCATATCGCACACATCCTAAATCATCATATATGTATACATCTTTATGGTAGGCAGACTTACGAAAACAATTTGATCATGCTAAGTTGGCGCGAGTTACGACCTTGCATGCTTTGGTGAGTTTCGTGTGTAGATTATGACACTTTCTACAACCACAACAGAACTAACTACATGTATTGAGCGCACTTTGTTAAACACATCATTACCATGTTGCAATATCACGTTGAATCATTGTAACCACAAGCACCTCACGAAGACACAATGCAAGGAAGACGGGTTAACCTCTCATACATTGATAATGTCTTAGTCGTTGGACTCGACCCATGAACATCCGTACTGAGGATCATTTTGAGTTTATTATTGTATATTGCAAATGTATAGGTTACTTACTTGCCACTGGTGAGCTGAAACAAAAAGCAAGTGACATATCAATAAATTCCATTCTAATTGCTACAGGTTCTTTTAAGGATCACAACTGATCTGATCATATTCTTGTACATTCCCAACGCAAAAGGTTAGTGCATACCATTGCATATTTCCTGTCAAAGCCAATAACAATGTTTGCATTCCTAACTGTAGATATAAAGAGTGTTATATTTATCTGTATTTATGTACGAGATGAACCATTCATATGAGTTTTTAAATTCAAACAATATCTCCTATTGAAATTGCTAGACTTATAGGAAAAATATAGGTCTGATGATCCTGAACAATTGTTTGGCACCATCGCTTATATACATGTCTTTTGAAGTTCAAAAATAGAAATCTAAGATTCCCCTTTTAGTAGGGAATTGCAACTCTCATGGCCTATCACTTTTTATACAGCAAAATGGTCAATAATCACGTTTGTGATATACCGTAATATTTCGAAGCGCAAGAATAAAACATTTGGTAATAATAGTTAGAATGACATTAGTTTACATACACGTCAACATCGATATGTACTCAAGGTTTGTATGACATGCACACGTCACAAAAGCATAGCCACGTAAACAGATGAAAGTGGAAAGGCTGCTCTAACATGTTTACAGTATAGTTTCTTCTCTCTTATTAAGGGATCACATCAGATTATATGGAAAACTGCTTATGAGCAAATGAATCCACCTCACACCTCTTCCTTAAGGTAAACTGTTTATATATAATGATGTCGTGATCGTCAAACAATGTGTATTTACCTCAAGAACAGCGTGTAACATTTGCAGTTATACAACACGGGTAAATTTTATTTTATTCCTTAACAAAAGACTGTCTGACCCAACACTCATAACAAACAACAAACCAGGGTCGTATGGTACAAGTAAACATTGGGAACTGTTGTTTGACACTGATCTCCTCCACATGTCTACCATAAAACGTTTAGAAAGGTTTACCGAGGCCCTGAATGTTGTAACCTCGATCCAACAGCCCTTTCGTCATATGACTCTCTTTGAAATCTTGATAATAACAGCATGATCGGTTAAACCTTCAAACTTGTAATAATTAAGCACAAAAGGCTGGAGCTGTTGTGATATTACTTGACATTAAGGGACAGTTGACTGTTACAAATTTGAAGTCATCCCACTTGGGATTGCCTTTTTTGGTACAATATCAGTTTTATGATATCACGACATTAAACGAAGGCAAGTAAAAATGTTTAGTTTACTTAATCAAATGTGCATGCTCAGGAAAAGTTTGGTTCAGGTGTTCTAACTGTATTTCTCACCACTATTCTACTCTCATAGTTCTCTCACATGTTTGTGAGTTAACATGTGGGTTGATATCGGATGACAGTTGATCTTATAAATAGTCCTAAACTCTTACCAAAAATGACGCTGTAAATATACACTTAATAAAGCACATGATTGACATGGTACCAGTGAATACATGTAACTGGTGCTAGCTGCATACACACACTAAATGCAAATTATTACTAAATGTGATACATCAATCCTCAATAGTCAGGATAAACCCTTTAAATACTTATCTCAGTAGGTTAGAACAGTATCATTCTTTTTGCTGTTCATATATAAAGCATTTGTGAATGTTCTGCCTCCTCATGATAAATTAACCTGGACGTTTTGACACATGGTACACGAAGAATGTGACCACTATAACGGATACAACTGTCGATATTGCTATTCTAAATTATTACCTCAGTGCAACTAACTTATGATCAGTGAAATAACTTCTATTCGAGTATAATATGCATGTTTTGTGACTGAAGAGTGATTGTCTACCCTGTCTTTGTTGATAATATATCATGAAAACACTGAGTTGCCCAGGCGGTCCCATTGGCTGAACAACTCGGGAGCTATAAGCGGGAGAAGTCATTATCCAAAACGCTCCACGATGCACACTAGGGAGCAGTTATTGTCACACTAATACAAATATATTTGCAACCTTTATGTTAAATACAAATATAACTGGCATAACTGAAGTACACATATATGTATAATTTGTCACAGACAAGAAAGTCCTGGTGGCTGGCATCATGAAAATCACCCGTACGTGTATTGTGGTCACATCACAGTGTATGCTTCGACGGTGGCCTCGACTACAGAAAGAATTGCAGATGATATCCAACCCCCATGTAAATAGGGGTGTGGTCATAACATAACAGTCTTCTTTTCGAAATATTCCAGGAAAAATATTAAATAATTGAATGCATGTCCAAATGAAGTTGATAGTGATGAATTAACATTTGAAATACAGGGATCTTTATGTACGTCCGAATATTTTGAAAACCTAGGGACTCATGTTTTTGTAAATCGGATTATTTCTTTCTTCTTGTTCACAGCGGGAGTCAAATGAGTTTCTGGACAAATCCAAAAGTGCTCATTCAAACAAACAGCTAGTTAATAACTAATTAATGGTTGAACATAACTACGGAAGTATACACTGTCTGACTACTGGACTACATCAAAGCCTGTACTACATGCTGCCACTAAGGATAATGAATGTCATATTACCTGTTCTTGTGTCTCCGCCATCTGCAAAAAGAAGATATTTCTTTTAGACATTGATCTCTTGAATGGCCGTGCAATATGTGCACAATACAGGACAGGCACAATCATACCGTCAACCTAGACTGTCACAGATCCACAAAACCATGTCTGCAGGAGACATTAGTTAGTTTAAAACTTCAAGGCTCAATATAGCCAATAGATCAACCCTCCACTTTTTGTGTGAGGAGTATTTTCCAATGCAGTCGAAATCCCACTGTGGATGACTATCACCATCATTTGGACATGTATATACTGCCTTATATACACAATATGATGAAATGATTAAAAGCAGACATATAACATGAGTAAATATAAATCTATTCTTTAACCAATAAAATGATTGGCTGACTTAACACCCATAACAAAGAACACAACAGGGACGTAAGGTGCAAGTCAAAGGAGGGACTTGCATGGAGAATCATGTTTGGCATCATTGCCCAGTTTGGAAACGTCCTGGGATTGCTATTTTTTTGTAAACTGTAAATTTCATGATATCACGGCACTGGCAAGTGCAAGAAACGTAGTATAAGTTTAGTTTACTTAATTAAATGTGCATGTTAGCAAAAAGTTTGGGATCAGGTGGAATAAGTGTATTTCTGAGCAGACCTCTGCTCTGTCAGTTCTCTAAGATGACATGTGATTCTATACACAGACAGTTCTGAAGCTATTCATAAACTGCTTGCCATAAATGACACAGCTTAAACCAGTTTTCTGTATTACAATATCTGACATGTAAACATACACTAAATGCAACCGACAACTGATGTAATAATCAATATCCCTGTCACACCATACACCCATTACCAGTAAATGTAATCTATCAATGTTCAATAGTCAGGATTTAAGCCCTTCAAATACTACTCTCAGTAGATTAGAACAGTACTATAATTTTCTGTTCAACCTCACAATAAACTAACTTTAATTGATATTTTGACACAGTGCTAGAATAACTGTGAACACTGAAACGCACACAACTGAAATGACACAATATTGCAATTCTGTGTCGTTACCTCAATGCAATTAAATTATGATATGTGTCACTATGAAACATCATCTATTCATGTTAAATATCCATGTTATATACTTGAGGAGTGATGTCTACCTTATTTTTGTTGATAATGTATCCTGAAAACACTGAGTTGCCCAGGCGGGCCCATTGGCTGAACAACTCGAGAGCTCAAAGCAGGAGAAGGCCCCCTTGAAGAGCAGCCTCCTCGTGGTGGGTGCTGGGTAACGCCAATGGTTCTTCGCCCCCGTGTGGACCCGGGGTCGAATAGGTCCACAGCACCCCATTGCTGGTCGTAAGAGGCGACCAAATTGGGCAACCAGTTTGCCGTGGGTTGCATCCGTGTGTCGGCAGAGGAAGGGAGTCTGGTGGTTGAGGATGACAGGACCGGCAATAGTGTTCAATAAACCCACCACTTCGACCCTATCTTTGCCTAGACGGGTGGTAGAATAGCCCCGATTCTACCAATCGCCTGGCCATGCCTTGCCCTGTGCATGGAATGTCTATACAAAACTTGGTATTACATAACACTTTTGGCCATGTTCAAAATGTTAACTAATATTCTACCAAAACAAATTAACCTCGCAGACCCATACACAGAAGGCGGTGGCTGATGGGCCAATCTGGTGATGCTGACCTCCGATTTCTGTACGTCTCCAATTGATTGTCATGGACAGAACCATCCTGACCTTTAATCTGGTAGGCAGCTACAGCATTTCATGTCAAATTCGCTGGAGTATAACAACCCCTTATCCCCGGTCTTTGCCGCTTGGAGATCCGCTGCAATATAAGATCGTCCTTGTTGACATTCCATGGTGGGTGGGGAGAGGGGATGCCGAACCACATTACTCACGACATGGCTTCCCAATACCCCGGTTCAAAATGAAGACACATGGATACTGACAACCACCTGTCTAACGAGAGTACGCCCCTCCGACCTGACTACTGGCCACGCTTCCTGATCATTGAGGCTTGTGACAAGCAACCTTTGCAATTGAATCCTTTTGCAATCTCCAAAGGTATCGCTGGTATCAGCGGAGAGGTTGCCAATGTCACAAAGCTCCGATCTGGCTCTCTCCTGATAGAATGTACCCGGAAACGACAATCCTTGAATCTCCTCAAAATACAAGAATTTGTCAATATCAAGGTCGCTGTCTCAGTACACAAAACACTTAACTCGTGTAGAGGCATTGTACGGGACAGAGCTCGATGCCTGTCTGACATGACTGAAGAACAAATTGACAAGGAACTCTCTCAGCAATTCGTCACAGCCGTGAAACGATTCACCTTCAAAAAGGACGGTGTTGTTCAACCAACGAACATCTATCTCTTCACGTTCGCGCGAGCAAACATTCCTGATTCGATTAGAGCTGGTTATTGTAGCATTGGTGTGGAGGTGTATGTCCCCAATCCACTCCGGTGCTACAACTGCCAAAAGTTTGGACATGGATCCAAGTCCTGTCGTTCCTCTGCTGTCTGTTACCACTGTGGTGACAAGCATGAGGGCAACGACTGTACTAAGGAAGTGAAGTGCACAAACTGCGGTGGTAACCATATGGCCTCTTCAAAGTTTTGCCCAGTGTGGCAACGCGAATCCGAGATCCTAAAGATCAAGCACAAAGAAAATATCTCCTTTCATGAAGCAAAGAAGAGGGTTGAAAGTTTAACTGCAGCCCCTTCAACCATCACCTACTCCTCTGCTGTCTCCCGTCCTTCTATCACTACTGCAACCATCTCATGTCAGACCAACCTGACATGGATCATGTCTTCTCAGCCAACTCAACTCAACACAACTCAGCCCATCTCAGCCACTCCATCTCCAACGCCAAAAGTCAAAACCTCTGATTCACAAACACCAGAACAAATGCCAAAACCAGAAACAGAAACTGCGCGCAGAAAAAGGGGAAAAAAAGAGGCTAGAGAGACTAAAGCAACTTGAACAACCACCAAACACAAAGGCCCCCATCGAGGTCTATAACTCCTTTGACCCTTTGGATATGGAGGTAACTCCAACTCCACCAGACACCAATAGGAGTTCATAAAACGCTTTCTCACGTTCACGTGACCAGTGGAAGCACCATGAATCCACAAAACATGATCCAATGGAATTGCAGAGGACTTAAGAATAATTATAATGAATTACAGTTCTTGATTCAAGACTTCAAACCATCCGCATTTTGTCTCCAAGAAACCTACCTACAAAGGACCGATAAATTTGAAATCCGTCGGTACAGTTCCTACCACTCCTTTTCTCCTCCCGGTGTAAAAGCTACAGGAGGCATTTCTATCCTGGTGAAGCAGGGCATCCCTCATAGCCCTGTTCCACTTAACACCAACCTACAAACTGTTGCTGTCCGCATGACTCTGAACATAGGGATTACACTATGTTCCCTCTATCTCCCTCCCACCTCAACTGTTCGCCTATCAGATCTTTAGAACTTATACGATCAACTCCCAAAGCCCTGCATAATCATGGCCGACTTCAACAGCCATAACCCCCTATGGGGGAGTACTGATACAAATAGTAAGGGAAAGGTCCTTGAAGAGTTCCTCTCAAATAATGATTTATGCATCTTCAACGATGGAGCAAAAACCTACCTCCATCCTGCCACTGGATCATACTCTGCTCTCGATCTATCACTTACAGATTCTAATCTTTTAAATGAGTTTCAATGGTCGGTCCATGACGACCTTTGTATAAGCGACCACTTCCCAACAATTCTTCCTCCTATCAACCACACGGATGAACCACCATCAACAAAATGGAATTTTACTAAGGCCAACTGGCCTTTATTCCAAACCCTATGTTCAGAAAAACTTAAGCCGGACAACTTCAGGAATGTTCCTGACACCATGGAACTATTTTCAGACGTCCTAAATGCCATCGGAGACAAAAGTATTCCTAAGTCCTCTGCAAACCCGCACATACGCAAACCATGGTTTGATACAAACTGCAAACAAGCTAGGAATAATAGGAAGAAGGCGGAAAAATATTTCCGACAACATCCTACAATGCATAACCTAAATGCTGTTAAAATGACAAATGCCAGGGCAAAACGTACCTTCAAACAAACTAAACGCCGGTCATGGAGGAAATATGTGTCAAAATGTCCAAGGTGTGGAACATTATTCAAAAGATTAAGGGCAAAGGGTCAAAATCAGGAGTTCACCACCTGAAAGATGGTGACTCTCTCCTAACAAATAAATCTGAAATTGCAAACAAACTTGGCAAAACTTTGGCAAACCACTCCGCCTTATCAAATTATAACCCTCAGTTCCAGAAATACCAAACCCAACAAGGAAAGAAATCAGTCAATTTTAACTCTGATAATGGGGAGGATTACAACATTTTCCATCCATGAATTACGTAATGCCCAGGACAGGCTCACGACACTGCGGCAGGAGCTGATGAAATCCATTATCAGCTTCTGAAACACCTCCCCTACTCAGGCTTGGAAACACTACTAAATATATTCGATGACATCTGGACATCCGGACACTTCCCCCTTTGTGGCACAATGCCATTATCATCCCTATACCAAAACCCGGCCGCGATTATACTAATCCCTCAAACTACCGTCCTATATCACTAACTAGCTGTGTTTGCAAAACCATGGAGCGCATGGTCAACAATCGATTAATCTGGTACATGGAGACCAATAATCTCCTCAGTGACCTCCAATGTGGTTTCGGAAAGAACCGAAGTACCATTGACCATCTGGTGCGTCTGGAATCATTGATCAAAAACTCCATTGTCAACAAACAACATACAGTTTCTATCTTTTTCGACTTAAAAATTGTCTGACTATTTCCATCAAGATCAGGGCGTCCCCCAAGGCAGTATCCTGTCTGTCACACTTTTTAGCATAAAAATTAACAGCCTCACTAACGTTCTGAACAGTTGCGTCGATGGGTCCCTTTTCGTGGATGACTTCAATATTTCATGTCGTGGTAAGAACATGCACACAATAGAAAGGCAGCTACAACTCTGCCTTACCAAAATCCAAAAATGGGCCAATGAAAATGGTTTTAAGTTTTCAAAATCCAAAACAAATTGTATTCACTTTTGTCGTAATACAAACCACACAAGGATCCAGACCTAACTGTAGATGGTACGTCCCATCGAGGTAGTAGAAGAAGCCAAATTCCTTATTCGACCATAACCTGACATTCTTACCACACATAAAATATTTGAAAACAAAGTGCTTGAAGGCTCTAGACTTGCTAAAAGTAGTTTCAAATACAGAGTGGGGAGGGGATCAGACCACCCTCCTTTACTTGTACAGATCATTATTTGGCAGTAAACCAGATTATGGCTCCATTGTCTACGGTGGAGACTGCAAAAGCAGTCTAGAAAAATTAGACTCTATCCACCACCAAGGGCTGAGGCTCTGCCTGGGAGCTTTTAGGACCTCTCCGGTAGACAGTCTATAGGCGGAGGCCAATGAACCTTCCCACAATTGTGTTTTCAACCCTCTCTATGAAAACATGTTGCCTAATCTGCCAAGCCTGGTTCCACCACTTGGAATCAGGATCAAACCACACATATCTGCAGCTAAAATTGATCTCAATATCATTGCACCTTACCGACTTCTGTTCTCACCACCATGGCAAATGGTGAAACCACAAGTCGATCTTACCCTCACCAAACTCAAAAAGTCTGAAACAAATCCTTTGATGTTCCAACAGGAATACAACCAACTACGTTCAAAGTATAACGTTCATAGATCCATTTTCACAGACGGATCTAAGGACGATGGCCAAGTTGCCAGCGCTACAGTCATTGGATCCAAGACTGTCTCCTCTAGGATCCCCGACAGTTCCATTTTCACCATTGAAGCCAAAGCTATCTTCTCAGCTTTGACCTACATTCAACAGCAAATTCATTCCAAAAACTTCATCGTTTGTACAGATTCATTATCCTGCCTTCAAGCAACTCTAGATGTGACTTCAAGTCACCCAATCATCCTGGACATATTAGAACTTCACAACGACCTTTCTACTGGCCAATGTGACATCGTCCTCTGCTGGTTGCCGGGTCACGTCGGCATAGCAGGTAACACTAAGGCCGATGCTGCAGCAAAAGCAGATCTTGAAAAGCCCCTATCTCCACTGCTAATCCCGTACAGTGATTTCAAACCCACTATCAAAAGCTATACTCGGGACCTGATGCAAAAAAGGTGGGACACTCAAGTAGGAAGAAACAAACTCCATGAATTGAAGCCAACAATCGGTTATAACTACCTGGGTTGTCAGTCAAGGCGTGATGAAGTTATTTACGACAATGTCGTATTGGCCACAGTCGGTTTACACATGACTATCTGCTGAAAACGGATGGGGATGGACCCCCCATATGTCTCTCCTGCAATGAGGATTTCACCGTCAAGCATATTCTGCTTGACTTTGTGGGCTTCACATCTGCAAGGGACTCGCATTATCACGCAACCAATCTGAAAGATCTGTTCTCCAGCGTGAGCACTCATCTGATACTAACCTACCTGAGGGAAGTTGATCTATTTCATAAATTGTAACTGTGTAATGTCACTAACGAATTTACGTGCTTTTCAATTTAGTGCTATAACATTCTCTGTTCTAAAATGACAATGTAATGAATGTGTGTCTTTGGAAACGAAACCATTTTTGACTTTGTACTTACAATGTATATTAATCCAGACTTGTTCTCGTCACTATATGGCTGGAATAATTCCGATGTGACGTAAAGCCCAACTCAATTCAACTCAACTCAAGCGGGAGAAGTCATTATCCAACACGCTCCACGATGCACACTAGGGAGCAGTTATTGTCACACTAATGCAGATACAGGTGCAACCTTTATGTGTTCAATACAAATATAGCTGGGATGACTGAAGTCCAGGGCCTAGATTGTCGAAGATTTCTTAGCGCTAAGATAGTCGTAAGTTAATGTTGATGTATGGCATTTACGACTATCTTAGCGCTAAGAGAGCTTCAAAAATCTAGGCCCAGAAAAATATGATTTGTCACAGACATGAAATTCCTAACAAGGTGGCTGGCATCATGAAAATCACTCGTATGTGTTTTTTGTTGTCACTTCACAGCGTATGTTTCGACGGTGATCTAGACTGCAGAAAGAACTGCCGATGATACCCAACCCCCGTCTACATAGGCTTGTGGTCATTACATAAAACAAAGTCTTAATGTTTCGAAATATTCACGGAAATATATTATTTAAAAAAAATAAAATTTGCAGTCAAATTTTCAATCTGCAATATGTTGCTCAAATGTAGGTGATAGTGGTAATTTACGGATTGACATTTGAAATACACATAATTTTTGCACATCCGATGCTTCAGGGAGAATATTTTAAAAACCGGTGGGCACATATATTCATATATTGAACATCTATTTGTCATCTAATCAAGCATATATATTTACCTTAAGAAGAGCATAACATGGATAACAGATGCGGCTACAAATGCTAGTGAGACTGCTACAGCTGCTCCAAGGAACACAGGAGCCGGTATGGTAATCACGCCCCACCCTCCTTCCTTGTTGTTCACAGCAGCGGGAGTAGTAGACGTTTCTGGACAAATCCAACAGTGCTCATACAAACAAACATCTGATAAATATTTAATGCAGAACCTCGCGAGGTCAGTTACGACAGAAAGTTCAAGAGGTTCCCATCAAAATTAGAATGTCATTCACTACCAAATTCTTGATGGAATGTGTCCGTTACTGTTACACAAAACATGAGTGTCGGCCTGTCGAGAATGTCAGAATATCAGAATGCACACAGACTGAGGCACCTATGCAGATTTGTTTGTAAGTATTTCCTGTCATTTGTGTGTGAAGAACTGTTAATGAAGCTAATATCAAGGAATAATAAACTAAGAGGCAAAAGAAAGTATAGGTTGGCATAAGTAATTTTTCTTTAAAAATGTGATCCACGGTGGCGAGAGAGTATTCTGGCAGTCATTTCCCGGCTACAGGGAGGAACAAATAACACGTCCGAAACGGAAAACAACTGACGGTGCCACGTTGCACGAGAAATTGGTAAAACAGGTCTGGAGTCTGCAGAATGAGATGGGCGTACCGAAGTGGTGCATAAATACGATCATTACATAGCATGGCATCACAGTTGATATAAAACACACCAAAGACCACATGATTAAAGAGAGAGGGGCTACACAAGTCGAAGTATCCAGAAGGTTCGGGTGTGCACACCACTGACGGTATCCAGGCTTCTACAAAAATACCGGTAGACAGGAAAGACTGACAGGCACAGAACGGGAAGACCGCCAGACCAGTAAATGAGAATCATCCACCTACGAGACAGATTCGTAACGATGACGGCGACGGCGATGGCAACAGCTGCAACAGCATTGGGACATCGCATTAGCCCACGTAGCCCACGTACAGTACTGCCTAATAAGAGCCTAGCGTCACTTCCGTGGAATGTTTTTGACACTGCAGCATCGATGCCAGAGACTGCGATAGGCTAGACGAGTTCGAGTCTCGCAGGTGAGGCAGTGTCGCCGACCGAGTGCTGTTTGAGTTGTTTCAGAATGATGGCAGAGAACGGGTTTATCGCCGCAAAGGTGAACGACTAGCTCCCTGTGTACATTCAACAAGCCCATCCTTTCGCCGGAGGAGGCATCAAGGTTCGGGGCGGTATTTGTGGGGAACAGAAGACTGATCCGGTAGTAACTGTTGTGCAGAGGAACTTAAACGCAGTGCCGTACAAAGACCAGGTGATACAACCAGTTGTGCTCCCATTCATGCAAAACCAATCACAGGGAGCAGTGTTTAAACATGAGAATACAACGCCCCATGCAGCAAGACTAACACAAGGCTTTCTCTGTCCACTCAGCAGATATGAACTCGATAGAGCATCTGTGGGACCTTCGTAAGAGACAGAAGTCGTCAACAGCTCACTGACAAAAGACAAGAGCTGGAGCGTGTCCTGAGTGTGGAGTGGCAAAGGATTCTAGCGTACGTCATGAGACGTCTGTGGTCATCGATGAGACGACGCATCACAGCATGCATCGAGGTACGTGGGGGTCATAATTCTGTCTTAAATGAACTTGTATAGAGCCTGACAATCGCGTATTCGTGTTCACATATCACTGAAGACCATTACGTTCTAACCCACCCAAAATATGCTTGAATGATCATCTGTAACCATTCTTCATTTCATATTATACTTGTAATCAACAATTTGTGTTGTATCGTTTTTCTTATGGATCGACAAACTCGACCTACACTTTCTTTTGGCTCTTAGTTTAATATGTTTTCAAGGATGAAGACTGCAAATTAATCTGAAAGCTGTTGACAATGTTCTACACTGTTAATGCCAGGGATGTATCTGATGTATGAGGTTTTGTGGCAGAACCTATGTTTTCAAGTGTAATCTGGAAACGGGTAGAATAAAATGAAGCTATGAGCACTATAGAAGTATGACTTTATAAATGGTGTTTGAGCATGACTATATCAAATGCAATAATCTCCTATTTGTGACCGAGATCAGGATTGTCCAATCCAAACACATAAACCTAGGCCAACCTTCTAAACACACATGTGATCTCGTCAGACTTTACTTTATACGTTTTATACTTTATACTATTTATTGTGGTATCAGTTGTTATTTTTGTAAGTATATAGTGGAACTTTATGTCTAGGATGGAAAGCATGTGCAAAAGAGAGTAGTTTGGAGTTTGGAGTGTGTTTGTTTGTAGTCTAAACACAGTCCCAACGTTGACTTTTTGTCGTCATCCCGCTAAACAGTTTCTAGAAAGGTTCTTATAGAAGAGCGAGAGAAAAGCGTTTAGTGGCCTCCTACTGCAATTTCACTTGGAGCATACCTTCTTGTCCAGTGTCGGTGGAATGGCTATCCGAAACCACAGACATTTGGCTTGCTTCCAAGATCAAGACATTCTACTGCGACACATTCTGGACATTGACTTGTGTAAGAGGACCAACGGTGTGCTGATGTACTGATTTACCTGCGCTTTACACACTAACATTCAACTCATTTTGTATATACACGATAGCCACATATAACTTCGTACCTTTCGCAGTGTTACAAAACTCTCCAGTATAAGTCCCACGGCATCCAAGCATACAGACTCCAGTTGTTTGGTTGCATCTTTCCTCCACACAGTTGCTGCTGCAGCGATGTTGACATGTATCTCCATACAAGCCACGACCACATTCTGGACAACAATCAAAGAACGGATTAAATATCAGATATACGAGAAAGTATCTTCTTTCTGATGTCACATGTAATACCATTCATTTAATGTGTGGAAACATCAATGGTACCATGATCGGTTCACCGAAAATCCCCACGGAACCTTCAGAAGTATCGATTTTCACCTTTTGAAAAAGTGGAGCACATACGACATTATCACAGTCGACCGGGTGTAAAAAACCTTAGAGTCGACTTTGTGTGCAGACTCTTTCCATATTGTCACAACCCCTATTGTACAGTACACAACCCTGTGCACTTAAAAGAACCCACGAACATGGTTTGTATATGACCAGATGGTGACCACATGAATACAAGCAAAAACCTAGTTACGTGCAGCAACGTGCAGTGAATTTGGACAAAGAACTGTGACTGTGTGTCCCAGTCCACCATGGGTACCTCGTTAGGATGAGAAAGCCACAATAATAATAGGTTCTGCCTAGTTTTCCATACAGACAATTGTGCGAATATAGATATATAGTACACAAAATGCCTCTGAAAAGACAACTATCGCAAGACCAAGTGGACGAGAGATTGGCAAGATGCGTTGAAAAATCTCTGCACAAGAAACGAAACAACGATTTGGAATTGGTTGCAGTCAACTAATCGAAATATGGAATACAGCAGAAGATATGCAAATAGCTACAAAGTCCATTTCCTCCTCCCCCAGTCCAAATGCGACGTCGCATGGATATGTGCCCTATATAAATATCCTATAAAAAATAGTTACTGATGGTTTATACAAAATGTGATAATCTTGTGTAAACGGCTAGCGTGTTGGCTGTTCATGGGTACATTGTAAACCGTTTAGAACATTACTGTGGTGTCTTATGCAACACTGCATTTGACAGCAACACAAGATGATGTTGAAAGTATCACATTAAAGCAACAGAACCCTTTTCACATTCCAATGAGGAACTGAGCACGCGTATTTGAATCACGAAAGTAATATTGATACCGGGTGTTTTGTGAAAATCTTCCCGCTCTTATCAAAGAGGTAAGAGTTGTCTCCCTTCAGCACCGGTCCGTTCAGAGTAAGTATTTATATTCGCACAGCATTTATGAATATTATTACATTCTTTCGCTGAAGACCATTCACTACAATGTCAAACATTAAACTGAGGTAAATGGTCCTTGTAAAATATGGACACTGTGGCAAGAGTTTCTACAGACCGTAGATGTATTTTCCCAAATAAGTAATTTGGACATTTAAATGGATATTTCCCATCAAGTTAAACGTAAAGGGAACTACATGCCACGAATGATCCAATACCTATACCGTGATGGGTGCTTTTAGTTGATCACGTTACAGTGGGGCATGTAACCGAACAGTGTTGACGCCATTGTGATCACTGCAACCTGACTTGAGAATCGAACGTAACAAAGGAGACTTATAATGATTGTTGAGAAGAGTCTATCACTTATACTTATCATAATGAAAATGGTATTTTCACTGCTATTTATATATTAACAATACATATTATAGAATATAAACTCACGGGCGAAAGAAACGTTACCAAAATTACTTTTAATCTTTTATTGTACACTTAGTGATTATTCATATCTGTTGTAAATCCATTCATATGTATGACTACAACTTTTTTCACTCATCATGCTTTGATCTCACTTTTTCTTACAGCCAATTAAGTTAATATTTACGCAGGTGTTTTGTTTTTTTGTGTGTTTTGCGTTAATATGGGAGTGTTGATGAGATTGTACTGGAGCTCCAATTTTAAAAGGTTAAATGTGTTAAGATCCATTGCTCAATGACACGCAGCCTAAACTGGTTATTGTCAACTTACTTCGTGTGCTATTACAAAACACGCCCATGCTGGTTCCATTGCAGCCGAGTGTGCAGTGCCCAGTTTGCAGGTTACAGGTCTTGTTGAGACAGTTGGTGCTGCAGGATTGGTCACACAGATCACCATGCCAACCACGCTGGCATCCCCCGGAACACTTCCCCGTGTCTCTGTGACAGTACTGAAGATTTCTTGGTGGAACAAGGGCACAGTTCACAGGACAAGTCAAGTTGCAGTGCTCGCCATATTTCCCCCACTCGCACCGTTTGTCCCCTGGTACGACCAAGACTGAAGTAAAGCATCACATGATGTTACAGTACAGATTCTGCTGAGAAAAAGTAGATGTTGCAATACAGAATCTGTAGGCATCTTATCATCGGTTTTCCTAAAATATCCTTTCCGACATCAATTATTTCCATGCATGTCAACATTTGTGAAAACAAACAGCATGGATCAAAATTATATGAGATAAGTCATTGATTTGTGAAAGTATATTATTGTATTTTTCTCGCTGAGGCTCCTACCAACAAACTTTAGGCGTGTAATACCATAAGTGATTGTAAGTTTACATCAGTCATCATTCAATTTATCGTTCAGACCACATATGTGAGATGTTGTCGCTTTTAGTTGTTGCCACGGGGTACTTACTGATCGACACTAGGAATGCAGGAAAGTAAAGACTCCACATTCTTCCAAGCTGAACCATAGTAGCTGTTGCTATCACTGCTGGGAACGCCTATAGTCACAGAAATATGTCAACATGATAAAATATAGAAATTGTACACACAGTAGTCCTGCTTCCTCAAACAGTTGTATCACTCACAAAAACAGTCGTCTAGTGTTTGTGTACATAGTGATCCTGGTCAAGTACGTTTGATTTACTTTTCGATTTATAAATTATATTCCTCTTCCTGAGGAAAGCGAATACAAACCAGAAAGTGTAATTTTATTCGAAATTACTAGATACTCATAACAAAATCTTCAGATGATAATAACATGAAAAAATATCAAGTTACCAAAAAGTGTAAAAATAATCCGGGATATTTTTGCAACATATAAACATGTTGATCATTCAGTGTGATATTCGGATACATCATACAAAAGACATGCAGAGAGCAAAGTCTGTCACCAAGTTGCATGTTTCTGGGACGTTTACAAACATAAATGGGTCTATCCACGTGCAAGTGAAAACACCATTATGTTGTAGACTGTTGTGTAGCTGGTTTACATTACGAAGTAGATTCTTTCACTTCTACAGCAGTATTTGCCATGGCACCTATTTACTGTATTGTTGTAATACGTTGTTCCTGTTATGAGGTTGTACTAGTAAGTTGACGTGGTCACTTAGTGTTTCGAATGCCGTAAGTTCTAAATTCAAAGACCGGAATCGAAGCATATTTATTATGGATTATCAGAGTATAATGGCAAGTCGATATTCATTTCCAGTCTTGAAATTGTCGTTTTTTCTTCAAAATATAGAAAAATAAACAGATGCTGCTCCAATTGTGTATCAGTTTGCGAAAGCATATCTCGGTTTGGCTGACTATGTAAAACCTCAAAGGCGGGTTTTCACCGATACCCCGAGCCATGATTTCCGGTTTAGAAGGAAAAACATTTTTTTTAAAGTAAGTGATTCACTCTCTTTATAAACGGACACATTAATATCGCACATACAAAGTGCGGGATGTCTTATTTACAGTAACAACCAACAATGTATTCACATTGATTGAGATATCAGGACACAACATGACACTGGTGAAGTTAATGTGTTGGGTGTACCTCATGACGTTCTCTAAAGGTAAGAGTTTATACTTGTCATTCCATGTGTTGGTGTATCTCATGACGTTCTCTAAAGGTAAGAGTTTATACTTGTCATTCCATGTGTTGATGTATCTCATGACGTTCTCTAAAGGTAAGAGTCTATACTTGTCATTCCATGTGTTGGGTGTATGTCATGACGTTCTCTAAAGGTAAGAGTTTATACTTGTCATTCCATGTGTTGGGTGTATCTCATGACGTTCTCTGAAGGTAAGAGTTTAAACTTGTCATTCCATGTGTTTGGTGTATCTCATGACCTTCTCTAAAGGTAAGAGTTTATACTTGTCATTCCATGTGTTGGGTGTATCTCATGACGTTCTCTAAAGGTGAGAGTTTAAACGTGTCATTCCATGTGTTGGGTGTACCTCATGACGTTCTCTAAAGGTAAGAGTTTATACTTGTCATTTCATGTGTTGGGTGTATCTCATGACGTTCTCTAAAGGTAAGAGTTTATACTTGTCATTCCATGTGTTGGGTGTATCTCATGACGTTCTCTAAAGGTGAGAGTTTAAACGTGTCATTCCATGTGTTGGGTGTACCTCATGACGTTCTCTAACGGTAAGAGTTTATACTTGTCATTTCATGTGTTGGGTGTATCTCATGACCTTCTCTAAAGGTAAGAGTTTATACTTGTCATTCCATGTGTTGGGTGTATCTCATGACGTTCTCTAAAGGTAAGAGTTTATACTTGTCATTCCATGTGTTGGGTGTATCTCATGACGTTCTCTAAAGGTAAGAGTTTATACTTGTCATTTCATGTGTTGGGTGTATCTCATGACCTTCTCTAAAGGTAAGAGTTTATACTTGTCATTTCATGTGTTGGGTGTATCTCATGACGTTCTCTAAAGGTAAGAGTTTATACTTGTCATTCCATGTGTTGGTGTACCTCATGACGTTCTCTAAGGGTAAGAGTTTATACTTGTCATTCGATGTGTTGGGGTATCTCATGACGTTCTCTAAAGGTAAGAGTTTATACTTGTCATTCCATGTGTTGGGTGTATCTCATGACGTTCTCTAAAGGTAAGAGTTTATACTTGTCATTCCATGTGTTGGTGTACCTCATGACGTTCTCTAAAGGTAAGAGTTTATACTTGTCATTCGATGTGTTGGGGTATCTCATGACGTTCTCTAAAGGTAAGAGTTTATACTTGTCTTTCCCGCATACATCCGATCATTTACAACCGAACTAATCATGACAGTGTTATTTGGTTATGCTGAATGAATTGTACAAATCATGTTGATCAGTGTTCCATGAACGGAGTGTTTACTCGACATACACAGTTATTAGTATGTGTCAATAAAAGATGTTATTTCTGAGGCTAAATAGTGTCATGATACACTGATGTTATGATAATGTTGTTTTAACATTATCTGGTTAGCGACACGTGTGTGTGTGTTTGTCTGTGTGTTTTGCGTGCGTGCGTGCGTGCGTGTTTGTGTGTGTCTTTGCGTGGTCTTTCTTCCAGATCAGAGTGTAATAAAGACACATCGATGCATTCATGAATGTGTGAGGGTTGTTACGCTTTGATTCCAAAGTTGAAACTAAGTAGTTAACGGGAAATCAGTCCGTACAATGATTCGGTGCGTGATTGAAGCAACAAGGCCAGGTTTTGTACTGTTCACAACTATGATAAACTTTCACAAATAGGATGAGGATAGAGGGTAAGATAATCGCCACACAATTGCTGGACTTCTTGTAACTTGAGATGTAATGTGAGGTGAGATGCAAACGAACAGAAAAGAAAACAACAGAGGATGATGATGGTTAGGGCCTGGAGGGTTGTAGTACATTCAACAGTCAGTCTTAATATAGCACAGGTCCAATTACCAGTAAATCTCTCAACCAACTGAATGTCAACACTTTGTATTGTGTATTGTCACACAATGAATACCACGGCCACATCACACACACCCATTATTGTCTTTATTGTGCTCTTTAGCCCTTTACTCGATGGTTTAGTGAAACCTGATTTCCTTTTCAGGCGACCAGTGCAAGGACAACCAGCATTGTTCAGATTGTGACAGAATAGGAAGTTGCCTCACAGACTGTGACACTGGGTATTTTGATCGGATGTGCATGTCAGCGTGCAGCAAGACCTGCAGGAACCATTCATGTCAGTTGTCAGTCTCTGGTGTCGGTGATTGCACTCAGCGGTGTGTCCCCGGATATCAAGGCCCAGTGTGCGATATACCATGTGACAGTCCAGGAGGTAGATGTACAGCATGTCCAGGTGGTTGTGATGGAGGATATTGTCAGCTGGGCTCATCCTGTGTGTCTGGATGTGTAGACTCCTACTACGGGACTGACTGTAAGTCGTGTTCTAGTCGATGTAAGTCCTGCAACAGGATGACAGAATCGTGCAGAGAATGCCACCCTGGATACTTTGGTCCAAACTGTGGGTATTCCTGTGATCACTGCCTCGGATCCTGTGAACATGGATGCACAGGGGGCTGTCTTCCTGGATTTTATGGCGCGTTCTGTGACAAGACATGCAGTGAAATGTGTGGATCAGACCCCAACACATCTACTGACAAACCTCTACTGGTACCAAACACTGGAGTACGTGACTGTCACAGAGACAGCGGGGAGTGTATCCACGGGTGTGAAGAGGGGTGGTATGGCCGACAGTGCTCTTCTCCGTGTAGTTCTAACTGTAGAAACTCCAAGTGTCAGTCCGACAGCGGGTCGTGTACAGATGGGTGTGCACGTGGCTTCTATGGTGGCCTCTGCCACCACACGTGTGAAGTTTGTCACGATGGTGTCTGTGATCAGAAGACTGGCACGTGCACCGAAGGCTGTCAGCTGACTGGACGAAAGTGTGATTCCACGTGTGCAGCCAACTGTTCCATAGCGGAATGTCTAAGCTGCAACCATGGTAACTATAACTGATTTATCAGTTGAGCTAAATTTGTTTATTAGTTAAGTAGCTTGTCCATATTTGGCAATATAAAAATAAGAAGTATGAGTGTTCACATTAGTTGCTGGTGTCCAGAAATTGAACATTGGTCTTATTATATATGTTGACACAATTTTCTGTGTAGATTCTTATTACATATTCTCCATTGCAGGTGTCAGTGACAGCAGCATTGTTGACCTGAAGATTGGGCTGTTAGCGGTGATTTCAATGTTTGTGGTGATCATCTTGCTGAGTCTATCACGCTTCTTCTACAAACGTTTGAGGACTAAGTGAGTATAATAAACATACATAGCCACTTGATGTTTTTATTAAAAGAGAAATATTATTATGGCTTCAACAACACTGTCACGCTTTTCTCCTGCATTTAGAATATTTGGGGTTTTTTTTGACGCAGCTGTACTGCCCGTATCCTAGTGTCATCTAAATCAATGTCCTGGTTCCTACATGACTGAATAATTCTTAGGTTTATAGTGTTCGAGAACGCTACGTTATTCCCTGCATGCTTCACTGTAGGTAGTAAAGGATTATATACCCCATGACCATCAGTGTATGTCACAGTATGTTTGTATGTACCATTGCCTGGCTAAGACCATTTTTAAAGAAATCACCAGGATTTGCTTTTGGCTAATGTTTCTTGAGTATCAGCTGATGGTAAATCATCCTCAGCTCTCTTGGTTGTTTGATAACTTAGCTGTCATTCTTTTGGTTGCCTAGACAAAGGTTTCCTGCTTCTAACATTTATTCTCGAATGGCATGTTTCCTTCGAAAGTAGAAAGAGTGCGAAGTGTGAGATAAACAAATATACAGACAGGATTAATTACAGGAATATATAGATGGACTACATATAGAGTACTGACCATGTCTTTGTGTACAAAACACACATATGTGTCAATGATGTTGCTACAGCAGAGCAGTCTGCTCTTGATGACGACACATACACTAAACTAATACGGAACTATGTTGTTGAACGTCCTGAGAAAGCAGGGCAATATCTGTCTCCAATTGACGACTGATGCAATGTAATCCCTTATTGCAGATACGGAGTTTTGTAAAGGAACTTAGAGCTTCAGTGAGTAGCTGTTGTTACAATCTCTACAGTATAGATCAGACCTCAACAAAACCCAAATGTAAAAACCAACATTGAGGAAGAACCAGCTTAAGTATAATTACTTTTTAACAACTTATGATAGCAAGTGACGCCATTATTTTCCATTTAACATAATAACGTAATTTTAGCATAGTATCAATATGTTTAGATGAAACGCATCGAGTAGACGACCATTAGAATCACAACATCTTACCGGCGATTAGTTCAAGTAGAACAGAAAAAGAAGTATCCCTCTTTCAACAATCGAAAATAACATGCTATAATTGTCATCAAACACACACAGACACACATACATATTATTTCATCTTGTTTTTATTGTTTGTGGTCGCTGTGAAAGTCCGTGCTTGGTTTGATTGACTGTCATCTTCGGGCCTCGTTAGGCTGGGTGTTTGAATTAATGAATTTTATGTCTGGTTTGGTTTCATAACACTGTAAATTGTCAGTTGTGTTACTGATGAGGTTTTACTGCTATAACATGTTGGGTTTTATAATTTGCATTATAACAGCAATAGTTGCCATCGCTATTTGACAAACGTATCAGTTGGATGTTGGATTTATTGATCATTTCAATTGTCTGTTTAGCTTTTGCTTCTCTCATATTGTATTATGTATTTGTTGTATTTTTTTAAACTCGTGTTTGACAAATGCTGAAGAAAACCTTCCCGTTATTAAACATAGATGTTTGAGATGTATACCAGACAGGACCTAATCGTTACGATTGTCGTGCTCACTTTAAAATCCTCTCATCGTTTTAGTAGAACGAACTACCCTTTTCACAATTATTGTGCTACTTACGATATGCACATTATGCATGTATATATTCTATCCAAATGTTTGCATATGAATGAGAGTTTATGGTGGTTGTGATGTGTGTATTGTAGAAGGAATCAAAGCAGCCAGCCTCAGTTAGTTTCCAGAGGCAAAAGTACACACTAGCATGCCATTCGGATTAGTGAATGACATCACGATTCAGGATAATTAATTCAGGTTAATATTGTCATCAGAGTTCAGGAAAGTGTCATCACAATCATCACTATTCAAGATTGTTTATGTTCATTCGACCTCTGGTTGCGCTCGATGTAAATAATTTGGGTAAAGAAAGGAAGGGAGCAAATATCCTAGAGGGTCCATGTGTGCAACTTGCATTTCATTTATTCAGCAACATTCACAATTTCAAGACAGACATTATATGTTTTATGAGGGTTATCACACAGTAGACAGTTTACTACTGTGTACTAATCATGTCACTTCTATACCCTAGCCTTCGTGGCCCTAAATATGTATTACATCTGACATGAAGAGTCCACTGTGCCACTGTGCTGTGACTGTGGTTATCGATCAGTTTCCCCCATTACATTTGACATGAAGAGTCCACTGCGCCACTGTGCTGTGACTGTGGTTATCGATCAGTTTCCCCCATTACATCTGACATGAAGAGTCCAATGCGCCACTGTGCTGTGACTGTGGTTATCGATCAGTTTCCCCCATTACATTTGACATGGAGAGTCCACTGCGCCACTGTGCTGTGACTGTGGTTATCGATCAGTTTCCCCCATTACATCTGACATGAAGAGTCCACTGCGCCACTGTGCTGTGACTGTGGTTATCGATCAGTTTCCCCCATGTGTGCAACAGGTTCCAGGGCCTGACACGTCCCGGTCTCGTCAGTGTAAATGTTTTATTCAATGAAGTTTATGTCCGTGCGACTCGCACGGTATTTTCAATGTTTTCAGTAATTAGTTACTGTGGGGATTTGCCCTTAAGCATTGTCAGACAGACAGACAGACAGACAGACAGATGTGTATTCACTATTTCAGGCCATATGACCCACAGTACAGTTGTGTTGTTATAATATTTTTACATTGCACAGTCACGTGGAAATATAAATATGCATACATATATTACCGTCTAATTTCAAAAATCTTTTCAAGGAATATTGAAACAGATAATATTATATTGATATTTATTGAGTTTACAGGTTTTTCATGTGTTGTTCATCTTTGTACACAGTTGAGATCATAGGGAGGTATTTGCTTCTAAGAGACGGGTAATGCTCACAAATGAAAAGAACATGAAATTCATCCTCGACATAGCCTTCATTACAAAAGTGACATAAACTATTTTTTGTATCATGTACTTCTTTCTAAAAAATCTAACATTAAAATTGTGGAGTGATATTCGTAATTTTCAAGTTCTATCCTGCAGTTCGGATACATATTTTTCAGGAATAAGTAATGATATTATGTTTCCATAATGCCACAAAAACCTTGAGGATGATATTTGAGAGTGTCAGTTTTGTGAAAATATGTCATTTAATCTGTGTTTTAAGGATAAAGGTAAATAACTTGTCATTTCCAACATTTTGAGGTATCCAATCAAGGGAAAACCAGACATAAATAGAATATTTCTTATATCAGACACCCAAGAATCTTTCCCATTATCATCCAATCTGTTTAACATGTTATAACATTGAACGGTAAATCTTTTTGAAATCTTACGAAGCAGCTTTATCCAATATTTGACAGCCCTTAACTGAGATGAAACAAGAGACCAGTGCGACCAATTTCTCCTAAAATAGCTTTGTTAGAGGCATATTATCAACACCTAATAAATCTTTAAATATATAGCGTGGACTTTTTCAATTGAATCATTACGTTTAACTCCCCATATTTCGCAGCATTGTGACAGCAGTGGTCAATGTTTGTCATATTAGAATGGATTATTATAGTTGCTTGATTGGCCATAACACTAATTTGTCACTATTTTGTTTTCTGCTTGAACTTTCTATTTTATGTTTTCAGTATTTTGTTTGTGCGCGAAAATGTGTGTTTTATGATTTTTGAGTTGATTTGTTGCAGTTTTATAGTCCCAAGGATGGGATAACATTGTCAGGTTGACAGGTGTTCTAATGTACATGATTTATGGCTTTGTGTTATAAAACAAACACGATTGAGTTCTGACAGTACTAACAAGGAGTACTGATTACATGTGTTGTGCTCACTGTTCAGACATGTGTAAATCTTTCCAACGTTTTAGTAGCAATAAACATATTTTTTATCTTATTATGTATATCTCTCCATCCATGGATTACGGTTAAACATCTTTGCAATGAAGTCGACGTATTTAAGTCAAAAAATGACTGATGCCAGACTACAAAGTTTCTCCATAATATTTCCCTGTGCTAATCTGTCACGGACAAAGTGACTGACGGGAACACTGTCCATTTGGCAGAAATATTAATATTTACATATGTAAATTAATCTCTCCAACCTTTAAGTTGCACAAAATATCTTCTTTTTTATGTATTTCTCGCCATCTGCAGGTCATATATACTTTGCAAGAAACAGCAGTGTTACTGGTTCATTAAAGGGGGTGTACTTAGAAAGGTATGGTCAAATGGAATAAGTCAACTCTAGCCCTAGTTATTTTTCGAGCGATAGCAGGACGTTCAGGCTGTCTGTGACATACAATTGACGCGTCACATTACCATAACTGAAAGGACATTATGTGATACACACATCTGACTTATTAACCAACAGTTAAATGCATGCGACAAGTTTAAACAGACCAGGCCAATGTTATTACATTACTGTGCTGGGAAGAACAACCCTCACATGAAGCAACAACACATACACAAGATAATGGCATTAGCGTCCGACTCCTGCCGTGCATACCAGGGATGCCACACTCCATCCTACACCACACATACAGTGAGCGTGTGTGTGTCTACGTGTGTGTGTTTGTGTGTCTGTGTACGTATGTGTGTGTTTGTGTGTCTGAGTGCGTGTGTATCTGTTTGTCTGTTTGTGTTGTTCGCTGTCCGTGTGTCTGTGTCTCAGTGTGTGTCTTTGTGCGTTGTCCTGTGTCTGTATGTGTGTGTATGTGTGTCTGTATGTGTTGTTTTGTGTAAGTGTGTCTTTGTGTATATATGTGGG